TTTCATATTTATTGTGATTCTAAGTTGAACTCTAAGGGGTTATTATATCTCCGTTTTATTATTATTTTTCAGAATCAATCGCTTATTGTAAAGAGGCTGTTTTTTACCTCTGCGTGCTTTATATAACATAATTAAGTATAATATAACTATTAGTACCCGGAGGACCGACCGGTTTGTTTTTTTTTTTGGTAAATCGTGACGTAATAATAAGAAAATATGAACTGATGTTTTTCACAAAAGATAGAACTTAAAAAAAAAGGGAAAAAAATAACAAAATAACAAATCGACAAAAAATTAAAAATAAAGAAAGCAATGATCTGGAATCGAAAAAAAAATTAAAAAAATAAATGTGTAAATGATCGAGACGCGAACCACGGCCGTCTGTTTTGGGACCGCCCGATTACCGACCGAGCTATTATGACATTTTCCCTTGCGGCGAAATTTACCGTCATATTCGAATTATATTTTTCATTCCCTGAAAACGGGGATAAAAGGACATTTTCTAAAAATGAAACCTAGCTAGATCGATTTTTCGCCCCCGAATCTACGCACGTACTAAATTTCATGAAAATCGCTGGAGCCGTTTCCGAGATTCCGATTATATATATATATATATATATATATATATATATATATACAAGAATTGCTCGTTTAAAGGATAAGATTAAAATATAAGTTTGCCTACAACAAGTTAAAAGCTAATTTCCTATACACCTAGGGTCGACTGGAAGAGAATGCATATTAGCATTAAGTTTGCCTAACCGCTAGTTAGTAAAAGGGGTCGAGTGTATGCGATGAATGGGTATAACTTAACGTATGGTTTATTAAATTTACAATATAAATAGGATGTGGTCAAACCAGTGATAAAATTATTCGCAATTGTTCTGGTCGAAACACCACAATCGGTTTCGTACAAACAGCTGTCGAGTCCTTGGGGGGTTCTATACATACTGTATGACACATATGCTGCTTGTATATGCTTATCTGTACTGTGACGTCATTCTCGACCCCTGGAACGAACCCTAACAACCTTAAATAAGCAACACGCGCAACTCAAACACCTGGCGAATAAAACATAAATAGTTTAACCGTATGGGTAGGGTTATATAGAGTCAACTATACTTTGTGTTTACAAAGCTCCAGCGGAAAGCTCAGCCCACCGTGATTCATTGCAAAAAATATTTCTAACGATTGTTTAACTCATATGAAAGAGACGTATTAATGTATGCAAGAATCTACAAACAGTTATTTATCTGTATTGTTGATTGTGAATTATCCTACGTTAAAATCTCCCGTTTTAATATAATAATATAATAATCCGTTAAAATGGAAGCTTCCTGACGACCCGATTGGCCTGATGCATGGTTACCCTGTTTCTTGTGCCAAAGTGTGTGTTTGATGAAGATAAATATTGTGTTTTTTTTTTTAGTGTTCCAGACTCTAGAAAAACACTACGTTCATTTATAACATTTATTTTTTTATATGAGAAAGGCATGTTTAGGTGTGTTTATCAGTTACCTAGTACCACATAGTACAAGCAATGCATAGTGCTACTAATAATTTTAGCAACTGATAACAACTCACCATAAAGTACAATGTTTGGTTATAAAACAAAATCGCACCAAATGTCACATTCATTTCCCGCGCAAACAGCCTACGTATTGTTGGCGTTTTAATAACAAAGCTAAACTTTTGATATCCCAGCGACATCCGCGCCTTATCGCTTCGTTCCCAGGAAAGTAGTTATATTAACAATTGTTTATATTTTTATGTTCGTTCAATCAGTATGCAGACGGGTTTCATATTAGACTCTTGTGTGCACGTGGTCCGAAATGGGCTTTAGTGAAGTGGGAGATTGCGAGGGCTCTTTATCCCGTATCGCAAGATTTCGGTAAGAATTTTTTTGAAATATACACATTTAAGCTTTGCCTGTGCGTATACCGCTGTTGTTGAGCGGTTTTCTCGACCGTCGTAGGTTCGATTCCCATATGAGAAAAAATATCTGAAACCTCTAGTAACACTATATCTTCATTGCCATGTACTGTAGTTGTGTTTAAAAAACGAGACAAAACCACTCACACCAAGCAGTCCACAGGTGTAAGCTCTACGCAAAGAAAATATCGTTATGTTTTAAAATTAATCCATTAAAATAGAAGTAGATAAAACTGGTCAGATTGTGGAAAAAAAAATTAGATATTTATTTAAGGGCTTCAACAAGAGCGAGGCCGCAGGCGAGAAGCTAGTATTGTTATAAGTGTTTAGGTAAGATCCCGTTATGATTGATTGGATTAGACTGATTAAATAACTTGATTGGATTTGATGACTTGTTAATGAATGTTATAGTTTCTCACGGTTGTAATGAAAGTAATAAAAACAAGAGCCGAGAACAATGCGAAATAAACCATATACTTAGTGTTCATGAATGGTGTTAGTTGGAAGTAACGGATGCACTATTTTTAATCTATCGGATTTTTTTGCAATGCAAAACTTACTGGAGGGTATGATTTGAGTTGTGAGGGTACCAACTAAATTTAACTTGTGAGGTCACATATTACATTATATGTTTTTGTAATTAACAATAATTTGTTTTCTATAGTTAGAAATTAGCAAAATGAAAAGCTATATTTCAACTGTCGAAAAATCTCGAAATGTTGGAAAGCTAAAGTATAATACTTATCATTGTTTTCTTAACTGTGGGGGAGGATTGATACTAATTAATGATTCTTACGCCAATTTGCTGGATGCGTTGAACCGTTAGTCGAGATAGGGGAACGTTCTAAGAATTCAACAACACTTTTGTATTTACTTATCGTTTGCGGCCGTGGGAGTTTCTCCCTATAAATAGATTGTTGTTACACGTTTGATGTCAACAATTTCGTTACCGATAAGGAGTACGATCACGCTATAATGGGCTCTTGTTAAATATTGGATAATAAAACAGTTTAACAGTTTTGTGTTCCGTTTAATTCTCGAATTTACTTACCTTTGACAAACATATAGATGTGTTAATGTAAATAAGTTATGATGTCATATTCTTAACTAACTTCCTACCTACTGTCTGGTTATTTGATGATTTATTTCGGTCATGTCTACGCAGAATGAGATCATAATAACAACTATTAAAAATTTTTGGCTATGCAGTGTTGGTTTTTTTATTCCTTTTTTCTTCATTAAAGAACTAGCTTTCCGCCCGCGGCTTCGCTCGCGTTGAAGCCCTTTAAAAACTATGTAGATTTTTTAAAGAAAGATATTTTCAACCCTTTACAACACTTTATAACCTATATCCTTTCTCAGGCTCTACACTATCTGTGTACCAAATTTCATTGATATCGGTTCAGTAGTTTTGTCGTGAAAGCGAGACAGATAGACAGAGTTACTTTCGCATTTGTAATATTAGTAAGTATGCATTTCAAGCTAAGCAAAAGTTGTCCTGTTTACAATAGCCTGTTGCATTGCCCGCGGCGTTCCCTAACTAATGTAATAGTAGAGACGGTCTCAAACTTCGTCACGAAACATTAGCATTACGCTAGTTTTAACTCTGTTTTACTTTAAATTTTGAATGATTATTTTAATCGAAATTAATTAATACGTCATAATGTGAGACAGCTAATAATTTTGATATTTAACAAAAGATTCTAGAAGACACATTACATTAGTTAGGAAAAGTTTCATGAATAACAATAGTGTGTCATGTAAAAAATTCCATTATGATAATAACGGGATTTAGCGTTACGAATTAGATAAAAGTAACAGTTAAAGCCAGAAAAATTAGTTCTTATCTTATATTACGTGACTATCCCGTATTAAAAAGAGGAAATTTTAGTAAAAGCTTACACTATTTACCTACAATCTATGTGCGATCTCTTCAATTCGCCCGGTCATAATTAACAAAAATAAATAAATTCAATCTCAGCCATCATACGTTAACGCTACTTTTAACATTTTTAACACTATGCGTTTTTTACTAAAAGATATCTATAAAATTTTATTACTACTCTGCCATTCATATCAATACATTTCAGGTTAATAGCTTAATACCGTATCGTAGATCATAAAAACTAAATATTGCCACACAATGGAATATTCATATTTGTTATTTTGGGTTCTTGAGTGTGAGTTTAATATACAACTGTCGTTAACATTTTTCAGTGCTGTGATTCAATCCTGCGACTCCTGGGTATCATGCCTGACGCTCTAGCATCTGATCTAAGCGGCCTTACATTCTTGAGATTAAGCACGAACGAAATACTAAAACTAAAAAATAAAAATTTAATTATATATAAATTTAATTTTTTTTAAAATTATATATAAATTTCAAATGAATATTTAGGACACATTTTTACACAATTTTTACGACAATATTAGAAATAGGGAATAAGGAGGGCACAAGATGGCAACCAAAGAAGCCCAAACTCTTCGCCTCTCATCGGTCGTCAACTTCGTTAGGGTATGGAGGAAGCTATCTACCTCCAAGGGATGACTACAATAGATCTTAAGTTCCCAGTGGTCATTGGGACTCAGCCAACAACTAACACCTTCCACACTTTTCAAAATCATCATAATCATTAAGCACGTAGAGACGATGAAGGGTTGCTTTCAGTTTACTGAAGTAAAATAAGAAGTATATGCTTGTATACATTAAATAAAACTAGTTTAAGGATTTTACCGCGTTTTCATTTTGATTTTTAATTACCGACGAAAGACCACGAACCCAGTGTTCATGATCACGGGACAGACCGAGTTGTTACATGTCTTGTGTCAAAAAAAAAAGTTAACCCGGGCCACCGACAATTATCTTGTTAATTATTTTCATTCCGATCTACGCAAAAGGAGCTTATGGTATCTTGAGGTCTATTAGTGTTATTGTGCTTGGTTTTAATTTTATTAATTATTGGATCCCAAGCAGACGCTAAACCCCAACCATCTTCTCTATTGAAATTAGATAAAATATTATTCTCTTATTGTCTTCTCCAGCCTTATTCTCTTCTTATCTTCTCCAGCCTTCAGCGGCCTGTGTCGGTGCAGGGCGTGATGGAGCACGCTTTGCAGCACCGCGAGCGAGTAGGCGTCCAGGACTTTGTGCTCCTGGAGGATTACAGGTCCGAGGCGGCCTTCATCGACAACCTGCGCAAGAGGTTCAGCGAGAACATCATCTACGTAAGTACACCCGCCAGATAAAACGAAAATGTTTCGGGGACTTTTGCGCAACGTTATCTAGTCCCAAACTAAGCAAAGCTTACACTTATAGACATGCTTGAACGTAATTTTCTTTTGTAAACTAAAACTCATACTCTAGAAAATCACTGTGTTCAGCACAGAATATTTTTCCAGTAGTGGGGATCGAACCCACACCCTCTGACGCAAGAGTCAGTGTCACTATCCACTAGGCCAATTGGGTCGTCAATAACGTAGGGATTTAATATTCCCTAAAAGTAAAGTAAAGTAACGGCCTATAAATTCCCACTGCTCAGCAATAGCCTCCTCTATACAAAGGGTATTAGGGCATAGCCATAGTTCACCACGCGACCCTACTGCGGATTGACGGACTTCATATATCTTTGAAATCTTTTTTTTTGTTATTATTTCGTAAATAGGCGGATTTCTTCACGATATTCCTTCAACGTTGAGCACTTGTTCAGCACTTAAAAATAACAAATTCATTGGTGCTGGCACTGCGATTTGGACTCAGGTTGCCTCATTTCATTTAAAAGAATATTAATTGAATTAGAAAAAAAATTCAACAATGTATGAATATTATAATTGATTATTTATCATAATTATTTAAATGAATTTGAAAGGAAATAAAGTTTAACGGTTACTTGTTTATAATCTGTAATACTGCGCTTAACTTTACTATGAATATTACAAATAGAAAAACAAATTTGCCTAGAGCGATCGATATACTTAGCTAGCAGCTGTTAAGAACGTTGCGATGACCCATCAGGCCATAATAGCAAATATTATGGCACATTTAAATGATCACTGTAAGTCAATTACTAAACTAATTTAGCTAAAACAAATATGATAAGATGGAATGAAAGTCCACATTTAGTATGCATAGCAAAATATAATTGTTATTAAGGATGCATTTGGTTTTTTGTTCAAGGGAGAAAGGGATTATATAAATAAAAAAACTTATACGAAATCAACGATTTTTCAGTTGTTGCCTACAATTTCTATATTATTTAGTAACTATAGTTTATAAGATTATAATTCTTCTTCTTCTAAGAACATTTTTATTTAAAAAAAAACGAAACTGACCTCGAATGTCTCATCTCTAAACATCCTCTATTTGTTTTTATCTCCGAAGTCTAAGGTCCTACACCAATGAATAAATGAATTCTAATAATGAATAACAAACAAAAAATCGGTTGAAAATTACAGTCTATATCCCAAATTCGACTTATATTATGCAGACAGTGACATCCTCACTACCGGGTCGCTTTTGCGGTATTACGGACGCCAGTATATATGTCTTATCTATGACGGACGCAGTTTTCCAGTGGCGTGTATGAAGTTTCGTTTACCGCATGGTCTGTAAGCAAAGATCATGTCTGGCGTACAACACTAACCGACAACCGTCGTTCGAGTTTGGAGCTGAACCAGTTTGGCGTAACGTGTACTGGTTCAGCCAGCACTGTCCCGTTGTAGTTAAAGGCAGTTTGAGATTTTTTTTATTTAGCCTCATACGCGATACGATTTTTTGGCGCAAGAACCAGGTGACATTGACGTTCCTCTTCGCAGACGTACATCGGCAACGTGCTCATCTCCGTCAACCCTTACAAGAATCTGCCCATCTACACGGAGGAGAAGGCCAGGCTTTACTACAAGAAGGCCTTCTTCGAAGCACCGCCCCATGTGTGAGTGATTTTTTTGTCATTTCATCGTATTTGTATTAGATTTTAGCAATGTTCTTGACAGTCCTCTCTGGCAACCCCTCTAGGTTATTAATTTTTAGGTTATTAATTTACTAGGTATATACTCGGTATATTCTATTCGGTATAGGTATACTCTAGTTTATTAATTTAATACTATTTAGTAGCTTACATTTATGTATGTTTGTATTTATTTCATTTTCTTAGGGGGAGCATTTCGATTTATGTAAATGACAACACATAAAAATAAACGTGAGTTACGAACAGTCGGCAGTTATAATTAACACCAATGGTTCCTTTACTTAAGACTTCGAACCCGTATCAATGCATTTGATTTTGGTGCAATTGATAGTAACACGAAAGAGTAACTTTATATGTTTCCAAAAATAACATCCTTCATCTTTTTTCGTTTTATTTTATTCGTTTTAACTCTTTTAATGTTCTAAAATAATTACAACATTAAAAAAGGTAAACTTCACATTTACTATCAGTTTGTTCCACCAATTCAAGCATCTATTATTTCATTTGATTCATTATGACGAAAAAAAAACATATCTGCGTATATGTTTATTTTTTCGTGTTTCTAGCGATGTTTATCTTAACCAATATCAGGTGATTCGTATTAAATTATAACATTAATGTCTATTTATCTGTATTAAAATGCAACGACGACTAAATGAGCTTCTTACAACCTGACTACTCGCTAAAGATATGCGAACGTGAGTCAGTAATATTAATTAAGCCCCAAAGCCCCAAACTAATAGCGATCGATAAAAGTGATAGCGCAATATCGCTCCTCGTATCAGCTGGACCAAAGCTATTGGCCAACTTTTATCAATACAGCTTACACACGTGCCAATTCGCACGTTTAGAAATGACTAATACTGCAATAAATAACTCAGTATTCATAAATTCAGCGATAGCAGTCGCTTATATAAGTAATTAACTTCCATTTTAAATTTAATTCCATGCCGACTTGTAATTTATTCGATAAATAACATCAATCGTCTTGAATAAAAATCATAATTCGATCAAAACTTTAATTTCACAACGGAAGGCATTCATTAGCTGTTTTTATTTGAAAATAATTCCGGATATCAATAATAGCAGGCATAACTTACCTGTCTGACTTTATAACCTGACAAACAAATTTTTATGTAAAATTGAACGCTTCATAAGAACGCGCAAGCGTCTATTTGAATGAAGATATTTTGAGTTTGAGTTTGATTTTGAAATCCGTCAAGCAATATTCCGTTAAGGCATAGTCTTTTATTATTTAGCGATTGCGATTTTAAATGTCCTACGTTTACATGTCTATTGCTTAACTCAATTCTAAACGCCTTTACAAACATTTAGGTTTAACGGTCATTCTAAATAAATTCAACCACCTCGCAACCGGTGTTAAGTGGTATCAGCGTAACATCGACCTGCATAAAGATTGTAAACTCCTTGGTCCATAACAAAATGGTGTGTTTAATTATTACCTGTGATACTCTAGTATCGATAATAAACTATACTGTGTTTTTAATATGCATACTGTTGGTTTATCTATTAAATGAAAACCCGGCCAAATGCGAGTCGAACGCGCACGAAAGGTTCCGTACCATTATGATGTACAAAGGAGAACTAAATGCTAAATAGCATTTTCTTTCAGTTAACCTTTGGTGGTTGAGAGCAAGTTACAGTTTAAGTTTATTTGTTAAAGTTAGTTGTTTATTTGTTGTTATAGCGGCAACAGAAATACGTGATCTGTGAAAGTTTCGACTGTCTAACTATCACGGTTCTTGAGATACATCCTGATGACAGACGGACAGACAGACAGACAGCGGAGTCTTAGTAATAGGGTACCGTTTTACCCTTTCTGTACGGAACCCTAACAAATAAATTTTGCGGTGGGTGCTATTACTCAACGATTACCTCAGCTCATCTGAACTTGGATTCGATTTCCACACGTGACGATTTCGACCTGTGTATATTTATAATATGACTAGTGGATCCGACACACGTTGCCCTGTACACACTACTTAAATCCGACAACAACATATAAACAAAAAAATTAAAAAAAAATGGTGAATCTCGAATCAACCTGAAAACACACAAAATTTTATTAAAATCTGTCCAGCCGTTTAGGAGGAGTTCAGTGACATACAAACGCACATAAGAATTATAAACATAAAGATATTCTTACAATATTATGATAATGCATATAACGTCTTCAAACTTAATGCAACAAGTCAATATCTGAAAATAAAAACGCAAATAAATGTAACAAAGCTGATAGGTGTATCTAAAAATGCAATACACAGTAATTTTCCCTCACCACTGAACTACGTTCTCGATGACGCGTCCCGATATCAGATAACAACGTGTTACATTATGACACTTACGATAATATCATCTATATTATTTTGTGGTCACCGCTCTTTCGTTAAATATTGTGTTACTCAACTTTCCATACCATGTTAGTACAATTAGGACTAGAGCTTTGTAGGAATTGTTTTAAAGAACAATCTTGATTCGTTTTGTTAGCTATAAAATGCCAATCAATTTCTCTATTAAATTTAAAAACTCCATAGAATAAAAAAGATGTAAACATGTAAATATCTAGAAAAAATATTAACTCGATAGTACAGAGTCCTCTAATCTTTACTGTCTCTACATTAATTTACTCTACACTAATCCTTCATCTGATTAGAAACTGCACATAATGATTATCAATACTTTTTACACAATAAACATCCTCTGCGAGATGATATTTAGGGTTCCGTAGCCAAAGGGTAAAACGAGACCCTATTACTAAGGTTCCGCTGTCTATCTTTCCGTCTGTCACCACTCATCAGGTTCTCATGAACCGTGATAGTTGGGCAGTTGAAGTTTTCACAGATGATGTATTTCTGTTGCCGCATAACGAGAATAAATACTGAAGAACAGACTAAAATTATTTAAGTGAGTGTACCATACATGATTTGTTTTGCTGTTTTTATAGGTAATGGAACCCTTAGTGCGCGAGTCCAGCTCGCACTTGGCCGCTTTTTTGAAATTTGCTCAAAATCTTAATTAAAATAAGCTTGTATGATGAATCGATTGTTAAACGTAAAATACACAATATATTTAATTTTGTATTCGTTTGGAATATAACTAAATGGATATTTGTAACAGCCTAATCAGTAAACTATATCAGGTTGCATATCAGAAGTACCATTCCAATAACAAAGTAGATGATGATACAAGTAAAACAAGAATTAGATATATACTTTATCGATACTTAAAGCTAGGACACAGGTATAAAGTTATATAGGAGGCATCGTTAAAATGCTCTGTTGTATGACTTTAATAGAAAAAACTGTGAAAAAAAATTTTTATCGCATCGAAGTTTTTAAAGATCTTGTAATTTCTCTCTTCTAGTTTTGCAATTGCTGACAACGCTTACCGCTCTCTAGTGTATGAGCATCGAGAACAATGCATCCTGATATCAGGTAAGCACGCAAACGAATGACTTATTAACTACATTATCCTATGCATCAAATATTCAAATTGTTAAATAGTACAGTTGAATCATCGTCATAATTTGTTTTCAAAACAGCCGCTTCGCTTATAAGTTACCACTGCTACTAAGCCTAAACATATATTTAAGGTACGGTGAAATTTATTAATCAGCTATGGATTTTTTAACGTATTTAAATATAACATTTAGAACGAACATAAATATCGAATTTTATGGGAAACTAACACTGTATTATTTTATCTGTTCACAACTCCAGTATTTTTATTACAAAATATACGTCTTCGATAATTTTAGTAACAGGTAAATATTTAGTAATGAAAGTAATTACTTAGTAAATAAGATCATTTTTCAAAAAAACAAATTCAAGTAAAATATCCAACCAGGAGACATCAAAGTGCAGTTCAGAGATATTATAATTAGCTTTTCCATTAATGCTTTTGTAACCGTTTTAAAGTTATATTTTTTTATTTATTTTTTATTCCTCTTTTTATTTATTTTTTTAAACATATCCCTTACTTTAGGATAACATTAACTTGTGTTGTAAGGACGTTTAACAAACATAAATTTCACGTGGACAAACGAATGTGGTTGTTAAACTAAAGTAAACTATTGTGGATGCAAATAAAAGTGGGTCACACAAATAGTTGTCCCGTGTGGGAAACGAACCCACGACCCCCGACGCCGAAGCCAACTCCTTGGCAACTGCGCCACACAAACACATTAATTCGCCCTCGTATCCGAGCACAGCGAGACCAACACAACGCGTACACACCCGCGTTCCAGGGCAGCTCTCACCGCCCCCAGCCACCGATTAGCTAAAAACACAGTCGACAGATCGGGGTCTCGGTCCGCACCACAACCTGGATGGCCCTTAGATGACATGCCGTTGTTAAACTCACTTATGAGCACATGCGCGGCCCTACCCACAGCGGAGAGCCCAAACTCGTAGACTACTCGTCTGGCTAGCCCACCGGTTCTGCGTCAGATGAAGCTTTAATAGTCTCGGGACTGAAATTACAAACATCAGTTAATACAAGATACAAGAACTGCGCCACGGAGTCATCATAATATATCTCTATATTATTCAATAATTTATTAATTAATATTTTGAAACATAACGGGGCCAAGAAGTAACAATTAACTTTTACCAACCATAGACTAATGCAAACTCAATCCGTACTTCTAAAACCGCCGACCATTATAGGCGAGTCCGGTTCGGGAAAAACCGAGGCCTCCAAGAAAGTCCTAGAGTACATCGCGGCCAGGACGAACCACCTACGCAACGTGGAGACGGTCAAAGACAAACTGCTGCAGAGCAATCCGCTCTTGGAGGCGTTCGGGAACGCGAAGACCCACCGCAACGACAACTCCAGCCGCTTCGGGAAGTACATGGACATCCAGTTCAACTACGAAGGCGCCCCCGAAGGCGGTCACATACTGAACTACCTGCTGGAGAAGTCCAGGGTGGTCAGCCAGATGGCGGGCGAGAGGAACTTCCACATCTTCTACCAGCTGCTCGCCGGCGCCGATCAGGAGCTGCTTAAGCACTTGAAGCTGCAAGGCCGTCCCGAGGCTTACAAATACACGACTGATATGGTGAGTTATTAGGGTCGCGTTATAAGAAAATTAATCATTGCATTAATTAAAAAAAAAAGACTATGTAAACATTCTAATTAGTTAAGAAAAGGGGGATTCATTTCATACTTGTGCCTACTGTGGTAGTCACACGAAAGATCCCACTGTGTGAAACTACCAGCTGGCACGGAGAATTGGCTTCAAATGAGAATACCACATTATACTATAGACTATAGTATTGATAGTTTTGCATTTTGACTTGTAGATAAGGTGACTAAAGACTCGCTCGCTTAAAGGATTCTCCGTCACCAACCATGAAATTATTCATGTTTTTTTTTAAATATGGTGTTTTTTAAATTTTCCGCATTTAAATTCAAGTAGGACACAAGGTTTCAGAGAACTACAAAAATTAAAAAAAAATAATACTCAATGACTCCAAAGATAGCGCAATTTGTTATTGTAATCGCATTAAGAGAAATCCAATCCAATAATTATTGGAAAGTGCAGTGTAGGGCGTCACTCGCAAGATGGACTGAGGACCTGTCCAAAGACGAGGCCTATGTTTAGCAGTAGATGCTTACAGGCCGAAATGATGATGATGATGAGTCCAAATATAAAAGTAATTGCTTCGGTGCCAACTAAGCCCTGTCTAACAATTAACCCGTCTACAACGCACCCGAACTCCTCAGCACACGAGCATAAGCCAGAAGACGAGCGACGCGGACCAGTTCCGAGTCGTGCGGGAGGCGATGCAGGTGATAGAGATTGGTGATAGCGAGCAGGGGGAGATGTTCGAGATCGTAGCCAGCGTGCTGCACCTGGGCAACGTCAAGTTCGTGAGGAACGACAAGGGATACGCCGAGATTCTGAGCCACGACGCTAACAGCGGCCACGTGGAAGACGTGAGTATTGCTCAGCCGAGTATGATAGCTTTATGGATGGTAGGGTCATGCAACAGTCTTCGCTGTTGCACCAATGGGCAGGTCCATCCGGGTACACGGGGGGACACCAGTGCGTTACGTAGGAGGTCCCGAAGTCCCTACAAACGTACAGAAGGTGGCTTAGGGGCTTTAGTGGGTACGAGCCGAGATATGGCGACCGAGATAATACGAGAAATGACGAGGTATCTTTGGAAGATTTCCCACCCGATACAAAAAAGTTCCGTCCGGGTAAGTACCACGACCTCACAGAAGACCGTCATGAACTGGAAGTGTCATACCCTCACGTTTCGTTTGGTGGTAAACGAGGATCGTCTATTCCAAGGTTGACAATTTATCTGCAACCTTCGGGTGTTGTAAACACCCATGGGTGGCAGTATTCACATCAGTGAACCACCTGCTCGCTTGCCAACTTTTTACAAAATAAAAACGTGATCTGGTCTTTGAAAAAAATATGGACGTGGGTTTCTCATCTGCCTTAGATAAATCCCCTGCCGTTTTGAAGGTCTCTCTTGGCTACTTACAAATTATACCTTTGTCGTAATATACTACAGAAATATATAATGTGAAGGCACTAACAGTATTGCTAAAACGCAATCAATGTCTAATGAATGGGAGTTATTTAAATAAGTATTACCGCAAGGTTGTTAGCTAAGCCCATTGTTCTATACTCTTCATATACACAGTTGTACAACTTCGTTAACGGTTTTCTTGTATGTTAAGGCGATATTACATTGTATGTATACGTACTAGATGGTTAATTCACTGGATTAGTTTTAATAATGAACGAAAATATTAAATAGAAATAATTAAAGTGCTTATGATGCAACTGAATTCTTAACTTACGGACATTAATTGGCTCGTAACGAAATCGGATCTCAGATCTTAACGTAGTCATTACATAAGTGTCAGCCGCTATACGTATAATGAAATCATACGTATAATGTAACTCCTAATTTCACTTGTTTATCACCTCTGAGTCACGATAGGACTTAATGATTAGATTGAACCTAAACTTAATACACTTGTCCTTAAACTTTATATAATATGAAGTTTTTACTTTCCGCTCTGGTTTATCCAAATGATGTTTTCACTATGAAATATTAAACTTTCTGGTTTTGCCAGGCCTGTACTAATTTACATCCATATATGTATACGACTATCCCAGTGAAGGTAAATGAAATAAAATACCTCATAATACATTTCTACTCGCCTGTGTAAATTTGGGGGTTAATTAATTTTCGTGAGCTAACATAGGCCCTTTTTCGTTTAGAATATCTTTAAAACCTCTTTTAAAGGTTAATCGGTTTTCTCACTAACACTAAGACTTCAGAGTTGAGACTGGTGATCTCTAACACAATACATTTTTCTGAAGAAGCGTGTTAGTCCATGTGCAATTTGTGTACAAAATCGTAGTACGAGCGTTTTTGTTTAGAGCGCTTATAAATTGCTCGATCTGTGTAATCAAAAATATCCTCAATGACTTCCCTAAATGATATTTTCTATAACTCAAATTCAAATATCTTTATTCAAAACAGAAGCATAACACTTACTTATTGATTGTCCTACTACCGGTTCGAAAATAAAACCACTGACCTTAGAAGAACCGACATTTTTGAAGTGAAATGCGACTTCCAACAAGGTTGCGTTAAAAGTTCAACGCTCCTGGGGAGAGGGAATAGAAAGAGACAGAGTGAGAGTGAATGCGTGGTACTCGAAGTTTTACTTCTTCCCGGTACTCAACGCACTTTTTTTTAAAACATAATTTGACGAAATAATAACGAACATGCTTACAATATTAAATTTCAAATGAAAGAGCCTCTCAGATCTCAGAACTCTAACGTATCACATCCTCAATCAGCTGCTGAAGGTGGATCCCTTGAGGCTGCGCGAGGTGCTGACCAGCCGCACCATAGACGCGCGCGGCGACGTGGTGAACACGCCACTGGACCTGGAACAGGCGCAGTACGCGCGCGACGCCCTCTCCAAGGCGGTGTACGACAAGCACTTCAGCTGGCTGGTCTCCAGGCTCAACTCCTCGCTGGCGCCAAAGGAGAGGGACGCCCGCGCGTCGGTCATCGGCATCCTCGACATCTACGGCTTCGAGATATTCCCAAAGAACAGGTAGGACTTGTTTCAGGTTTAGCAGATTCTGCCAAAACTTCTGTTAATGCACGTAAGAAGAGATAAATAAAGTCGAGCTAGCCTTTCCGAGATTCCCATTTATAGATCACATTTTTGTGTGAGGATATATCGGTAAATAGTAATTTTCATAAGCAAAATGAAAAATACACTTTTATTTTCATTTTATTTATGGAAGGAACCACCAAAATTACGTGTGAGATTTGCGAAGTAGTAGAATAAACAAGGCATTTATAATAAATCCAACCATACTTGTACATACGAGTATTACGTTATATATTTAGAGATTGAGATTTATAACTAGAAAATAGGAATTATTTTCCTCGAGCTGGTAATTTATCAACAACATTTTAGGAAATGATATATGGATACATCTTAAAACTATTGACATGATGAGGCTCGAGATTACAACCCGTCATCTAAATCACAATGAACAGAATTTCTGACCATCAACTCGAGTGTGCTATACCAGTGAAATAAGGCATCAAGTATCTTGACGCTTTAATTAATGAACAGTCAAAATTTCATCTTTCACACCAAACCAGCACATCAAAACAATAAATTTATTATAGGTATACCTGTATGATTTATTTTTGTTGTCTACTATTTTGGGCCCCAGGAAATATCCTAATTATTTTATATGGCTCATCTCGAAATCTATTTCCCCATCACTGTGCTAAACCAATCGGCACTGAGTTGACAATGTACCTTGTGCTCAGCTTCGAGCAGTTCTGCATCAATTTCTGCAACGAGAAGCTGCAGCAGCTGTTCATCCAGCTGACGCTGCGTCAGGAGCAGGAGGAGTACCTCCGCGAGGGCATCGAGTGGGAGCCCGTGGACTACTTCAACAACATCGTCATCTGCGACCTTATCGAAGCCCGCCATAAGGGTGAGGTTTCATTGCACTTTTATTATCTCCAGTATTACAATAGTTCTTATGCCTTAAAGATCCTTGTATAATTTCGGAATAGATGAAGCTTATATATTAGCCACTACAACCTTCAGTGTACAGTCGCGGCCAACTTTGTTAATCGGTTTTGTGAACCCATGTTTTTAGAAATTCACCGACTCTACTAAGTCATTATTCGATTTCCATGTGCTGAACTCGTGGAGTAAATTTCACTGATAATATGGACAATCGTGTACACTCATATATATTCATACGCAGTGCTTTACTCGTGTATACTCAAGAGTAAGGTCGCGCACACCAGGCATTATCTCTATTATACTCAAGAGTACAGTCGCGCACACCAGATGGAAACAATTTCACTTGTATACTGTACAATCATTTACAGTCATATATATATTCGTAGGCAATGCTTTACTCCTATATACTCAAGCGTACAGTCGTGCACAACAGGCATTATCTCGATCCTGGACGATGAGTGCCTTCGGCCGGGCGACGCGACCGACGCCAGCTTCCTGGAGAAGCTGACGCAGCACCTGGACGGGCACGCGCACTTCAAGTCGCACCGAAAACTCGACTCGAAGACGCAAAAGCTAATGGGGAGGGATGTGAGTACATAATATATTCTAGGGACCACCCTTTTTCCCTCTATGTTGGCTTAGCTATCAATATATGAGTTAAGAAACCTTTTTTGTCTTTTTTTTAATATAAAAATTGGCGTGTTTCCTCATTTACAATCGCCAGACGTGTTTGTTTGGCTTAGGGCTTACTTATCATAGTATATGAGGTATGCCATAATATGGTCAAACAATGTCAAAATCTTAATGGATGCATATTTGCATCCCATATAATTGCAATTGAAAATTAAAGAAAATGATTTGACTCGTCATTCACAACCCCTCAGGAGTTCTGCCTGGTGCACTACGCGGGTGAGGTGACCTACAACGTGAACACTTTCCTGGAGAAGAACAACGACCTCCTGTTCCGGGATATCCAGGCGCTGATGGCGGGCAGTGGGAACAAAATCGTCGGCCTCTGCTTCAAGGTAAGACCAGCATTTAGAATCTCTAAATGAATAGAATCTCTGAATTTAAAAAAGGAAGTCCAGCCTGAGGTAAGCCTCGGGGAATCCCAGCGTATATTATAATATTTATACTTTCGCTTGTATTATGTATAAACACCAAAACCCACTAAAATCCTACTAAGGTTTCTGGTGATAAGAACTTACCTTCAGGTGAACGGCATAAAACTTTTTGCCCAAAAAATCCCTAACACGAGCTTGTGTAGTCTATCCTCTTAAAATTACATTTGTACAAGAAATTCAAAATCTTACATATAATTATGCCAATCAAGAGGATAATCAAGCGATTATCATATCGTTCTAATACCTAAATTCCTTTTATTTCTCCTGCACTTGTCCCACACTAATTTGGATCTGTACAAAATTTCCCTTCCTTCCACTTTTTTCTATCAACCGTCATTTCAATGCTGGCCACATTCATAAACATATAATTTTTCCCATAGCCCAACTAAATTTTCCTCTTTTTTTATGTGAAAAGTTGCCAAGCGAGCAGGCGGTTCACCTGATGTTAAGTGAATACCGCCGCCCATGGACATCTGCTACACCCGAGGGTTGCAGATGCGTTGGACATCCTTTTGGAAATTGGGCTCCGGCCACCTCACTCACCAGACGAAACGTGAAAGTATTATAATTCCACTTTACGCCGGTCTTCTGTGAGGTCGTGATACTTACCCGGACGAGCCTGCCCATTCGTGCAACAGCCGAGGCTGCTGCGTGGCCCTACCACCGTATTAATCTACACCGTCCTCGGTCTTATTCTAGCTTTAAACCCTCCATTCACATTCATACTCATCACTCTTCCTGTGACACTTTCATCCCTACTCTTAATGTTGGGCACCTTGTCAATCTACCACTCAATCACTGGTGCCACATCCTCTCCCATCAAGCTTTCTCGAAAATATCTAACCTTTCTATTCACTCCACGCGACCATCTCAACATTCACATCTATGCCTTAAACCAACTCTATCTTCAGTGATGTATTTTGATTGTACAATGCGAGAACTTGACGTGGCTATGAAATATATAAAAATAGCAGTAGTAAAGAGTAAAGTAAAAAGTAAAATAATAGCAGTAGGTAGTAAAGAAGAACTTTCACGTCTCTGCCTTAAACCAACTCTATCTTCAGTGATGTATTTTGATTGTACAATGTGAGAACTTGACGTGCCTGTTAAATAAATAAAAATAGCAGTAGTAAAGAGTGAAGTAAAAAGTAAGATAATAGCAGTAGGTAGTAAAGAAGAACTTTCACGTCTCTGCCTTAAACCAACTCTATCTTCAGTGATGTATTTTGATTGTACAATGTGAGAACTTGACGTGCCTGTTAAATAAATAAAAATAGCAGTAGTAAAGAGTAAAGTAAAAAGTAAAATAATAGCAGTAGGTAGTAAAGAAGAACTTGGCCCCGCAGGATACTAACCTGTCGAGCAAGAAGCGGCCGGAGACTGCGGTGACGCAGTTCAAAAACTCCCTCAACGACCTCATCAAGATCCTGAGCAGCAAGGAGCCCTCCTACATTCGCTGCATCAAGCCAAACGACTACAAAATGCCCAGTGAGCTCAGATAAATCTGCTATCGATATTCGACCGTAACTTGTTATTTACCTTAATCCCTAATATTGTTTTACCAAACGCTGTATTATTTAATAAATTTTGTAAAAAAGACGAAACGCAGACGTATGCCACTTTCACTTTACGCCGGTGTTCTGTGAGGTCGTGGTACTTACCCGGACGGACCTGCCCGTTCGTGCAATAGCGAAAACTATTGCGTGGTCCACAGTTAACATATTCATTGCCGTAATCGGACCAGGAATTATTATAACTGCTTTTAATTAATATTTAGTAAAACCTAAACTTTACTGCTCCTCTAAAATGAGTTTCTGTATCTATGCTTCGTCATTGACGACCCGAATGGCGTACCTGCCTCCTACGCCAGAGGGTGTGGGTTATCCTGACTACTGGATATCCGCACAAAAATATTGTGTGATGAACATAGAGTTTTTTTATTGTCTGGGTGTTTATATAAGTATAATATGTATTTATGTACAAAAGAAAAGTCTGTTTAGGTATGTTTGTCAGTTTTCTAGTACCCATAGTACAAGCGTTGCTTAGTTTGGGACTGGAAAATGTTGCGTAAAAAAAAATGTGTCTCAAAATATTTATATTTACTTATATTTATGTCCCAGTGCAATTCGACGAGAAGCTGGTCTCGCACCAGGTCAAGTACCTCGGCCTGATGGAGAACCTGCGAGTGCGCCGCGCCGGGTTCGCGTACCGGCGCACCTACGAGGCCTTCCTCGAGCGGTGAGACACTTCGACCCCATAGCGAGTCCCAGTTTCGCGAAGTGGTCCATATGACGGTCAAGTCGGGACCCACTTTATTAAAGTGACAACGCATCTGCAAACCCACTTGCCCGAGCTACGCTCGACATAATTACAAAACGGCGCCGATTGCACGCCTCGTCATTTTCGTTTTATTGTAAAACAATCGGCATTAAGTTCGCAGTTTGCTGTCAGTCATCAAGCATGTCACGCGTTCTCATTTGTCAGTATGAAGTAGTTTATTAGTTTTCGGACAATACAGTTGTTTTAAACTACATCATTTCTACATATTTTAATTTTCTACATATTTTAATTAATACATCAAATGTTTAATATCAAGTTCTATGAAACTGAAATTGCTGCCGTCACCGCCATATCACATGCCAACTTTTGACATTAAAAAAAAAACAAATAACAAAGTTGCCCGCGAGTAATGTAAATCAATTTGTAAACATCATGCTAGAAACAATAAAATAGGATAATATATCGTGGAACTGCAGTTATAGGTATCGGTCCAATACATATCTAGGATTGAATGATGAAATTGACTTTCGGCTTTGAATTTGACTTTGAATAAGTACAACAGTGGTATAAAGCCAGCGACGGTCAACAGGTATAAATGCCTGAGCGCGGAGACTTGGCCTCGCTGGGGCGGGGACCCCCGCGAAGGTGTGCAACGCCTAGTCGCAGCGCTACAGTACGAGAGGGAGGACTACAGGATGGGCAAGTGAGTATCGCTTCCTCACACGTTTTTTAGAAATATCTGAGTGTTTTACGGTGGTATGGCCACGACGATCTCCGCTGTTGCACGAATAGGCAGCTCCGTCCGGGTAAGTGTCACGACCTCACAGAATACCGGCGTGCAGTGGAAGTGTGATAATCGTGACTTCGCCTGGTGAGCTAGGTAGCCGGAGCCCGATTTATTAACAGGTGGCAAAGCATCTGCAACCCTGCGGGTGTTGAAAATGTGCATGGGCGGCGGTTATTACTTACGATCAGCTCACTTGCCACCATCTCACATAAAAAACCCCACGTCCAGGGTCTCTTCAAAGGCCAAGTCACGTTTGAAAGTTGCCCAGCGAGCAGGCGGCTCTAGTGACGTGATTACTACCACATCTGCAACACAATAACAAAAACAATAACAAAATTATAAGCAATCGTGGATTAGAATAGAGTGAGAAATAATGAAATAGTTTGTGAACGTCGATGGGTAATCACTATAGGAGTTGCAAAAAATTGCCAGCCCTCTATACAGACTTTCATTTAACTGATTGAAGAAAAATTTGAAAAAATTTTGATCAAATTACATTACAATTTTCCAGCACGAAGATCTTCATACGCTTCCCGAAGACGCTGTTCGACACGGAGGACGCGTTCCAGATAAAGAAGAACGACATAGCGACCATCATACAGAGCAGGTGGAGGGGCTACTGGCAGAGGAAGCAGTACCTCAAGATGAGGCAGTCCGCGATCATCATACAGAAGTGGGTGCGGCGGTTCCTGGCGCAGAGGCTCAAGGAGAGGAGGCGCAAGGCCGCCCACGTCATCAGAGCCTTTATCAAAGGTAAGATCAATCCCCGTTTGTCCATTTGCCTGATCTGATATAAATCAATTTTGGATCAGGTTTAGTTTAGTAGAAGTTACTATTCATATTAATTTCATTATATGAATATAAAAACAGTACATAATTATAAATATTTATGCATTTTAGTGTACGATTTAACGCGTATCACACGCTATGGAATTAAATTCCACAATATGGAATTAAAGAAATGTTTACAGGCCTCAGTTACCCCACTCGTTATAGGGAACGCGAAAGTATAATACTAATAATAGGCTGTACCGGACAAGCCGGACGAGGCTGTCTTATCGACAGCAAAGGCTTCGTGCTCTAAGCGAATGCCATTAACTGCCAGCTGTGGCACCCGCGACAGCCGTGCGACATCAGAGGCCTTTTCATGTGAGAAGGTAGCAAACGAGCTGGCGGTTGGCGTGATTTTAAGTGATAACCGCGAACCATTTGCAACACGCGTAGGAGATGACAGACTTTTTTTGACACTTTTCCATCTTTTAATAAAGTGTGCCCCGGCTACCTTTTAACATAGTGGACCCCAGCTGCCTTTGATAAAGTGTCCCCCGGCTGCCTTTTAACAAAGTGCCTCACTTGCGCCCTCGCCAGGGTTCATAACGCGCAACGGGCCCGAGACCGTCGAGAACCGGCGCTTCCTCGGCGTGGCGAAGGTGTCGTGGCTGCGGCGGCTCGCCGGCCAGCTGCCCGCTTCACTGCTGGACGCGCGCTGGCCCGCGTGCCCGGCCACGTGCGCGCTCGCCTCGGCCGAGCTGCGCCGCCTGCACCGCGGCCAGCTGGCGCGCCGCTACCGGATCGCGCTCTCGCCCGGCGACAAGCGCCAGTTCGAGCTCAAGACCCTCGCCGAGGCCATATTCAAAGGTACCCTCGCTTCTTCCTAGCCTCCCTCGCTAGACCCTCGCTTCTGTATAGCCGACTTCAAAGGTTCTCGATTCGGTTGCGTGATTTTTCCCCGTTAACTCCGGAGATCAGGGAACTGGACAAATCGGATAGAGGTTTTATAGTGAGTGAGGTTTAGAGTCGGTTTTGTTTTTTGCTACAAAAATGTTTTGCTTGTCTGTTTTTTTTAATGTCAAAAATTGTCAAGCTAATAGGCTGTTCGTCGTATGTTGAGTGATTACGCTCAACTACAATACCGGAGGTTCGAAGATGATTTAAATGAACTGTTTTGCAACCCGTCAGGGATGTATTTTGACGTTCCCCACGTGCTTTTTGCCCGGTTTCTATTCTAATGCTTATCCAATTCCTGTTTATTGTTTTATAACTTGAGAGAATGATATAATTTGGCTGTATCTCTTAGTAATGTATTTTTTTTTTACTTTTCTCATTCTACGCGTAAAAAGTCTCCTTTTAAAAATACCTTTTACACTCATTTAAGAAATAAAATGAAATGAAACACGAGCTAGATGTTTGTTTCAATTCCAACCCGGGCTCCATCTTGACTAAAATCTGATCTTCCTTACACTCAACCAGCATGTATTCCACTATCGCTCTATACCAAATGAAAACCTTTCCACACTGTGTCTTCTCTTAGAAGCTGCATCTCTATTCCTATTATCACCCCTATAACTCTACACAAAATGAGAACCTTCCCACACCGTCATCCTCTGTTCTTATTCCCGCCCACCTTATGATTAAGTCGTTCGTTATCGTTCTACCGCGCCTTTAGCCCTCTCTTTTCCTTCTCCACGCCTTTTACCCGCCCACTGATTGCCCACCGCTGGTGCAGGCAAGAAGAACAGCTACCCGAGCAGCGTGGGCGAGCGCTTCGTGTGGGACCGGCTGCCGGCCGAGCAGCACGCCGCTCGCGACAGCTTCGTCGCCTCGCCCGCCTGGCCCCAAGACGAGGAGCTCATCGTGAGTCCTCCTTCTGACTGCCTCATCGCCTTCAGTATATCCCTAACATCCAGTATAGTGCTCACTTTAAAAACAAGCTGCTTGGAAAAAGGCATATTAAAAAATAAATAGTTTTTAATTGAACTTGCCTAAAGATCTCACCACACCATAGGTTGACTGGCAGAGAATGCTGTAGGCATTAAATCCGCCTATTGTGTTCCTAAATAACTAACTAAGTGAAGAGAGCAGACTCAATGATGTAGAGAGATGATTCAATCCACCGAGTTTCTGACATGACAACTCACAATAGGGCCCTTAGAGTATGGATATAACGAGCGGTTAACCCTAAACTCCTGCTATGACAGTGACAGTTGTTTAGCAAAAGACTTGGGATCACCGTCGATATCACAAAAGAGAATAAATTTAATTAAAACACCATGGTTGGACCACGCAGCCGGCTCCGCTTGCGTTCATGTGTCGGCCCGTCTGCGGAAATATCGGAATCTCATAGGAAACCGATATAAATAACCTGTAAGGTGTCCCTCGTCGTTTAGAAGTCATCTCACTTGGATGCTTGCGATTGGCCTCTTTAACGGTCGGTTTCAATCCTATCCACAGACAGATTTGGTTACTAGCGATAGGTATTTGTCATTAGCTTATACGCCAATATGCCATCTACAGCAACCAAGTCACTCTATAGATAGAATATCGAGACCGGCCGTTAGAGCTCCTCCAAAGGGCCCACATTGAGCGACATGATCTTCAGTACTTGTGCTGCTCACTGAGTGTACCACCACACCTTAATGTCAATGTGGGATGGATAAGCTTATGTCAAAACCGACCGATGTCACTGAATGCCTTTGCCGTACAAAATTTTTGCCGTATTCAAATTATAATTACGAACTAAAGTATAAAAAAAGGTCGCGCATACGAGCGCTTGCAAGTGCCGATATGTGTGTGCATGTGTGTGGTATACGATAGAAAATGTACGGCTTCGCCTGTACAGTACTCGTGCGAGGCGGTGAAGTACGACCGGCGCGGGTACAAGGCGCGCGCCCGCACCGTGCTGCTCTCGCGGCGCGCGCTCTACGTGGCGGAGGCGGCCGGCCGCCGCGGCCTGCGCCTCAAGCACCGGCTGCCGCTCGAGCGGCTGCGGCTCGTCATCACCACGGAGTCCGACCAGCTGGCCCTCGTCAAGGTGCCGCAGGACCTCAAGAAGGACAAGGTGACGTTTTGACACTCGTTCGTTCTATCGTTCACTCGTTCGTTGAGTCCCAGGACAAGGTGCTCTGTCGACACTCATTCGTTATAGCGTTCACTCATTCGTTGAATCCCAGGACAAGGTGATCTGTCGACACTCATTCGTTATAGCGTTCACTCATTCGTTGAGTCGCAGTTGGCCCTCGTCAAGGTGCTACAGGATCTCAAGATGGACAAGGTGATCTTTCGATAGTCATTCATTCTATCGTTCACTCATTCGTTGAGTCCTGGGCTGGCCCTCGTCAATGTGCGACAGGACCTCTAGCAAGACAAGGTGATTTTTCGACACTCGTTCGTTCTATTATTCACTCATTCGTTCTATTATTCACTCATCCGTTCTATCGTTCACTTAATAATGCAGTCCCAGGTAGGACGTGTCAAGTGACCGTAGGACCTCAAGAGAGGCAAGGTGATCGCCAAACATTCTTAACTACTTACATCTTTGGTCACTCGTTCTTTCATTCATTCGTTCAGATCCAGTTGACCCACGTCAAAGTGATGCAGAACCAAAAAAAAAAAACAAGCTGGCGCCTGAATATTGTTAATTCGTTTACTTATTCAAATTCCCCATTTACATAACGAACGCGCAAAACTACAACGCATCTGTGTAGTAATAGTTCGATACTTCAGAGATGCATGTAAGCAAAGAGAATGTAATCACTACGTTTTTGCATGTAAGTTTTGCGCGGCCTTTAACAGTAATGTAACCAGTTGATATTGCCAGATACATATCTATCTTCTTTCTTATATATAAAAATGTATTGCTGTTCGTTAGTCTCGCTAAAACTCGAGAACGGCTGGACCGATTTAGCTAATTTTGGTTTTGATATACTCGTGGCACTCCAGGGAAGGTTTAAACGATGAGAAATTATGGAAAAATTGCATGGAAAATCGAAATAGAAACAATTTTATTTTCTCATACTGAACATTAAACTGAACCTGTCAACCCGTCAAACGATTTTTGAAATAATTTATATGTCAAACTCTAGAAAATATGTCAAACTCTAGAAATAATTTATATGGCAAAACAACGTTTTCTGAGTCAGCTAGTTAACATATTAATAAATAAATAGAAAATAAATCCTTTGTCTGATTACGTCAGGGCGACCTGATTATCTCCGTGTCGCACCTGATCGAGGCGCTGACCATCCTCGCCGACTGCACCAAGAAGCCGGAGGTCATTGAGATCGTCGACACCAGGACGTAAGCACAATGTTCCACTATTTAAATTCTTATGTTATTATTATCAAATTAAGACATCCAATGGTTTTATATTATTTATTTTAATTATATACTACATAAATATATAAAACAATTCATTCACAAAATAAACATCTGAATATTAAAAGCATTTATATCAATATAACATATTTATACTACTTTTAAAGTTTCAGCCAATTTTACTACAGATCCATAAAGCACTATAAAAATTAATACGTTACTTATATCAATAATAATTAAATAGTGAAACTGGGTTGCTATATGTAAAAAAAACTCAAACGGTCGTTTCGTCGACAGAATCGCGCACGACCTTGTGAACGGAAAGCAGGGGGGCACCATCGAGGTGACCAACGGGCCGCAGCCCGCCATACAGCGCGCGAAGAGCGGCAACCTGCTCGTGGTAAGCGCCAAAGTGTAGTAAAAATTCTACTGTAGCTTAACAGCAGCACATCTGTGGTAGGGCCACGCAACACTGTTGCAAGAATGGGCAGGTCCGGGTAAGTACCACGACCTCACAGAAGACCCGCGTGAAGCAGAAGCACTTCTGCGTTTCGTCTGGTGAGTGGGGTAGCCGGGGCTCACTTAAAGGTGGCAACGCATTCGCAACTCTACGGCTGTTGTAAATTTCCATGGGCGGCGGTCATCACTTAACATAAGGTGAACCGCCAGCTTGATTGTCACTTTCTCACATAAAAAAAACATTTTGTCATGAATGCGCAGTTTCGTTTGGAGTATCACAATCTCTTGGGTGAGGTAATCGGGGCTGGCCTCTCAACAACTTTTAAAGGTAGACCATACAATTGACACCTTGTCAATTGCGTGGTCAAGCAGGTGTTGGGTGTCGTCAACCTTTTTTTGGCTGGTTCAACCATTGCTGGCCTTGGAAGGTCTTCACAGATCCACCGGACTTGAGAATGCCGGGCGCCAAGCCTGAACCTCGGTTACTTGTGACTGGGATGTCATCCTACGTAATCACTTGCCATTGAATGATTCACTTGGTTCAAAAACCGTTAAAGGTTGTACAACTGACACCCTGCGAGTTTTGTGGATGTCATACATTACGTAGGGTAGGATGGCTAAACTTAACATTGGCATTCGCTTGACACTTTTCCCATAAAACACGGTCACTCAGCAGAACTAGTACAACCTTGAACAGAGAATACAAGACTACGCTTTTGCGGAAACAAAAAATTGCTCCTGGTCCTGCTGTTCTTTGATATTCCTGCGTGTTGCTGTGTTTTTTTTTTTTTTTCAAATAAAAATCAGTAATTCTAATTTTATTTATTAATTTCGCACAAAAAAAAGTTAGGGACTCTAACGCCGATAGAAGTGAAAACATAAAACAATCTCAAAATTAAAATTGTATAATATTTATTTCTACATATTTTTAGACACTCCGAACATATATTTGTAGTTATGGATATGGTATAAATACTGTTATTATCTTTCGGAGTACTTACAAAATATGTAGAATTAAATATTAATTTTAATTTTGGATATTGTTTTATGTTTTCACTTCTATCGGTAGTCCCCTGAGACTTTTTATTTATTAATTAACTTGTCATTAACATTTTCAGGTTGCAACTCCTTGAAACATTGACCTTGAAAACAAATATGAACAGAGTATTAAAGAACAATGTACGTAACAACGACCATCATTCTAGTTATTTAAATTATTAAGACGATTTCTAATAGCTATACGATTATTTATAATTTATTAAACTTTTAAAATAATGCATTGTATTCACTTTGTAAAGAGATATATTTGGATCCATTATAATTTTTTTATTGTACTGAACCAGGATAATGTGTATTTTTTATATCTGTACTTATACTAAAATTTGGTTTTGTTGGTGATTTGTATATTGCCAGAATGGTCATTATTTTTACCTTACATGAAAAATGATTTACATAGTGATATGTATTTTTAACAATGTTATTCCTATTTTTGTAAAATAGTTTACCTCTCTTCCATGTCTTTTTTTTTATTTTTATATTATTTGAATATTTTATTTTTCGCGTTATTTCATCTATTTTTATATACACACCAAAAACGACCAGTTGAGTACAAGAAGTGTCTAGTAGTCAATACATATCGTAAGAAATGTCTCAATGTACGGAAAGTGTCCATAAAATAGAATACTCTAAGATGGCGTAACAATACCATAAGTTCTACATTTTAAAAAAAGCGACAAAAATTATTGACTAGTCTACATTAAGTTACCGGGTACGATATCATTTGACGATTGCGATATTTCTCTAATGCTGTAAGGGCCAACCGGTCACTTTTGAACTCCTATTGCATACTTTTTTGTGGACACATTTGTCAATTTAGAACACTGTATTGGGATACAACTGATTTCACACTAGACACAATAATACCAGCGTACAGCTGAGTAAATTGACGATTTCCGCACACTTGCCTGATTCAGAGCAATTCGATGAGCAAGGTCAATTACGTATTGAAATTGTCTATCTAGTTTTATAAGATATATTTCAAATAATCGTACAAAGTACTTAGCTATGCCATAGAACGCGTATAGTTATTAAGTGAAATGTGTCACGTTTGTACAAATAATCATTACAAACAATTATAGCAACAATCTTGTAATTCAAGTAAAAATATGTTATAGAGTGGCACCATAGAGTATTGATTATATTTTAAATTTTAAACTACTAGTATTAAGAATGTATTTGAATTTGCTAATAATTTCGTATGTCAGACATTTTTCACTTTAAAATGTACAATTTATAGCTGAATCGAGGGTGCCTAGCTGCAGTTATGTATGGACGGAGGATATCATTATAAAACTAATTAGTATATAGCAATTTAAAAAGTTAACAAAATTAGATCGACAGCATTAAAATAGTTAACAGCACTAAACTAATAATATAAACAATTTATAGTAACCGCTGATATAAAAAATATGAATTAAAGCGTCTCCCAATTTTTTTTTTATAACATATTGTTAGAGCTAATGAACATCCTATGACGACTGCCTTAATTACTCCTTGTAAAATGTTTTTAATTATTGAAGTTAAAATTGTATTCTAAAAGATTTAATTTTATAGAAGGCTCTTTAATTTATTTAAATAGTAAGGCATAATTCTAAAAACATATTTTGTCCTGAGAAATATAAATGGCAAATATAATAATTATAACAATTGAAGTTCATAACGTATGCTGTTTATTATCGGAATTATATTAAATTTATATATAGGGAAGTTATTGCATATATACAGTTTCTTTACAGAATTATATATGCCTTAATTAAAAATGGTTTGTATACTTACACGTATAGGTACTATTTACATTCTTGAATTGACTGCAATAAATGCCTTAAATAAAAATTTAAATAACTAAATAAGTTTAGTCAATATTTATGAGCTTATTTTGTTAACTGTGCGATTTAGCTGGTCAATGAAATTCTAAATGGAAACCAAATTGAATGAAGACAAGCAAGTGCCTTATCTTTAACCCCTTCAGAAATTAGTGTTAGTCGGTTACTACGCAGTCTTTTATTAAATATATGCATTTTCGTAACTCGTGTTTCCTTTCAAATTTCCTATTTAATAACAGGATTATTTAATAAATCATTTAATCAAGATTTATACGTATTCAGTAGGTAACTAAATTTTAACTTAATTCGTGCGCAAAAAAACAGTAAAGTAACAAGTTGCAAGTTAACAAGTGCGCAGACTAATATGTAAAATTGTATTTCACTTTGAAGTCGGTGGGCGGGATTATCATTAGTCACTACTCACTGGTGTTGCCAGGTGTCTCGAAATGCGCGGGACCTCCCGATGTTTTAGGGTCTGGTGACACGTTGGTGGACCGGGACGCCACGCGCGGCATATCCCGATTTAGCGCTAAACTCAATCGTTTATTTCCTTTGAAAGGTCTATGGGAGAAAAAAAAATATCGAAATTGTTTTATTCGAATACCCAAAAAGACACGAGTTAATTCCAAAATTCGATTTAGTTCTAAAACTAGACGAAACGCATCGATTGATCCCTAAACGACGTTTTCGTGGTTTCACTTCGGCCGAGTTAACTACGATACTTAACAAGAAGTCTAAGATATCATTGATCCTAATACGAAATTAATTATTGATTTAACCACTTTGACATGCTATTGGTCTTCCGTCTTAGCTAATCTAACGAGTCTGACTAGTTTCGTTTCTTTACGTGTATACAGTTAAATATTTAAATATTTTCGGACACATTTCTTACACAACATTCTCTAGTCCCAAACTAAGCAACGCTTGTACTATGGGTACTAGAAAACTGATAAACCTACTTAAACATACTTTTCTTTTGTTAATTAATACATATTATACATATATAAACACCCAGACACTGGAAAAACACGATGTTCATCACACAATATTTTTCCAGTAGTGGGGTCGAACCCACACCCTCTGGCGCAGGAGGCAGGGTCACTACTCCCCACGCCAATTGGGTCGTCATTGTGCACATGCCGTTACACGTGCCGTTGTTACATTTGTCACTTATAACTTAGTTAACTACCATAAAACTTGTTTAATAGAAACAATGTTGAATTTCTAAGCTGATGCCGATAATCATTTCAAATTCACAATTTCAGAATGTTATAATAACGGGCGTATGTATTTCTGTTCAAAATAAAAACATTTATCATAATTCATTGCAGTTTAATTATTTTTAAAAAAGTTAGGTACATTTTTACATTGTAAATTAAACTATGACAACAATCCAGAGTTATGGCGACACGTCCGCAGCCGTTCAGTCTCACAACGAAACAATACATTAACCGGCGTTAGCAATAATAGCAATATGATAAAACATATTAACAACAAATAGGAACTTGCCTACGGTTTTACAAAAATTTGTTGATCCGATCACATTACACAGATTACATTCGCCTCCACATCAACTAACCAGCAGGAACTTCTTACGGACAAAATATTTTAATTATAATTTAATAAATAAAAAAGCATTTTATGAATTATTCGCCGTTAAATATTTGCGTAATGTCATCTTACTTAACATCTTAATGGCATGCATAGATGTCGCCTATTAATTTTATATTAAGTCACGCTTAACAATTCTTCATTATATTTGTCCCCTAAACTCCGGATTATTTGTTCACGTGACAACACCGCATCTATTTCTATATAATACAGAGGGACTTATCCTTTTGGCGGTGTCCCACGCTTCCTTATGACGAATGTTTTTAAATAATTCACTATAGGAAGCAAAAGTTAGAAACTGATAAATAAAAAATAATTGGTAATTTTCTATTGCTTACCATTGTGCTTCCTATAAAAGGCATACAACTTTCTAAAAATAACTATCCACAAATACTTTATGCAAGCTATAATTAACTCAAGTTTTAACATTTTTTTTTTCAATATGAGAACACATGTGAGACATTAAGGATACCCTGTGCATTATATTCTTTTTGCTTCCTACAATGAATATAGAGGCTGTTCTTAGCACTATCTCGGGACTGATTTATTATATACGCCCGAAAAAATGTACTACAGTGAGTGTACTGGAAGATCTCTGTAAATAGAATACCGCGATGAATTTGAGCTATTTAATAATACAGTTAAGGACACCAGAATTCTAATATAGCTGTTGAAGGCATTCTGCATTTAATTCATGAGTGGTGGAAATTGTTCCTTATTAAAGTAACAATTTATTGACCTCATGGCACATGGTGAATGACATGCAGTAACTCTTCACAGCAGAATATTATAAAAAAGGCACTGAGACAACTGACTACCACAATTGAACTATAAGACCAATTGAACTATAAGCCAATACTAGAGGCAAAATTATTTGTTTATACGAGGAATTAAAAAAGCATTTGATTAACAAGACTTAAATCCCTTACATTGCATAGTTTAAGAAATTGGTTATCTAAAAATCTTCCAGGAATGCTTGTATTATTATAAACATTTGTGAAAAATAACATGATATATTACCTACTTAGCTTTAAATATATACAAACATCCTGTGATGCATTATTGGTGCTTAACAATTCTTAATATACATAATACATAATATTAAAATAAAATTATTACTTATTAAATGCCAACTAGTTTGGGTCATCAACGCCGATATATTATGCTAACTTATACAGTACCAACCATTTGATTTACACTATTGTCTTTGTGGAATGAAGACATTTTATTACAGATTTTGGATAAATGATTTAGCATTTATATATATTTTGAAAGTGTGTGGCCCTGTGATATAAATAGATTGGATGTGAAAGTAAAATTATAATGTTACTTTGAGAGTTGACCATAAAACGTGTCATTAATTATTTAAATTAGATAGTCACAGAAATTGACATCTTAATATAAAATAACAGTCATATAAAAAGCCATCTATGGAATAAATCTATATTAATGATGCCGAAAAGGTTTTTAGCCTTTCTGCTAAATATTTTACACTATTAATTCATTCTATTTTGTTGTTTATACTAATAAAAGAAGTGATTCTAGATGACATTTAAAATATTATAATGTCAAAGCCAAACACATGTTCACATTTCACCCAGCATAACTTCCATCATTCCCAGTATATCTTACAATATCACTACATAAATGTCTTAAAGGAAAGTACAAATGCCTTCATCCCATAAAGTCATATATATTAAACCATGTTTAGTACAAAACAGGTCAGTAAAGCAATGAGTAATCTATCAATTTCCTATCGCCTTTCAGTATAAAACCACTATAATCATATTGAACCATAAATGGTGACCCGCAAGATTATTGCTATTCATGATATTATACTTTAATATTCTAGCATTATTACATCCTAGAAGTTAATTATCAATTATAAAATTTGTTGTGTAAAGGCCACATTATTAATGCACAATAGCTCTATCATTTGAACTTGGCAATCCACTTACAGTCACTTGATCTATCAGTTTTCATATGAAAATAGAACAGTATTCTTTCAACATGTCATAATATTTACACACTTTTCACAAGTTTCATTTTGCATACCCACACAGGAGTATTTAGTTAACCGGTAGACATCAAAATTTAAAAATTGCACAGCCAACTTTAAATAGTAAATTTTTCCGCACAATCACGAATTATGGAATGGCTAATTATTTCTTTCATATCATGTAAGTAAAAATGAGAATGAGTTATATCATTGTAGCAGTGCCATCTTAGCTACACAATTAACTTGTTGTTTTATACTTTACTTTGGGTACCTATTTCATTTGAATAGAGCAGTCTCAATCACAATGCTCAGGTGTTGCACTAATTTATTATAAATCTGTTTGACTTCTTTGTCACAAGATATGGTTTTTAACATTAATATGGTATATCATAGATTTTTGATCAACAACAGCATAGGCCCTATTACCAGATTTAACAGTTATATTTACAAGACATTGCACAAACAATACGGATGAATAATATGTGCTAACTACACCACACCAAACATACAAATCAAAATAAAAACTTGAAAAAATACAAACAATATTGTTCTTAATACAAAAGAAATTACACATAACCTATGCTAATATTTACAATTTTACACAAGAGTGACGACTTACATTTTAGATTGCAATTCCCAATCTGTAGGTAACTAGCGCCATTTTCAAAGCTTTGGTCTTAAGGAATTTTGGTTCGTGCTCAAATCTATAAAAATCATTAAACATTTGCCGACTTTGTTTATAATCTGTGCAGAAACAAGTTCACAAGTAAAAACAACATTTTCAAATCAGAACTTTATTTAGGTATTACATTTCACTACTCTCCCAGCTGTCAAAGACCTGGATGTTAGGCCATATATACTAACAACAAATTGGGAAATCAATATTTATATGACAAGGAAATATATATCATAAATAGTGAAACTCTTAACTTTTAGGGGTTTGAATCAACATGAACCATTGTAAAATATAACAATGGATATTTGCATGACAAACATGCCTTCAATCTGGACTTTCACATAAACCAGGAAGCACTAGTAATAATTACAGAACAAATGAATAACATAAACCTTTCCGGTATTGTCTTTTGATTGCTCCGCACACAAACAGCAGATCTATATTCTGCATGAAACTTGAAATGTATTTCATCTTCATTTGATTAAGGCAGTCATCTTGGCACAGCATAGGTATAACAAGAAATCACTTCACTTACAAATCCAAACTTTGCACCTATCACTGTTATGTGTGGCATTGCACTAAGTATCAATGCCGCACAGGCATCCATGGTTATTCATAATAACCATAGAAGTACTCCATATACTATTTAACCTGTCCCACGGTCTCTTGGGTCGGCTCTGTAGCCTTGAAACCACTCTCCATTTTGTATGGTTCACTTTTGTAACTTGAATCTGATTGGTTGGAGGATTCATTGTGTTTAAAGTTACCATCCTTCTCAGAGTCGTTATTAGGGTATCCATATGCCTTTGGTTTGGCCTGTTCTTGTTCGCGTTGCTGTCGCCGCCTTTGCTTTGACCACAGCTCGTGACAATCCTGCCACGTTGGTAACTCCGGTGCAGGCATTCTGAAAAGATTTGTGTTATTTTATAGACAGTAAATAATACCTTTTTTTTACGTTTTAAATTACTGAACTGTCCTTGTTTATTATCAAGGTATATGAGAAAAATGGTAAAAAAGAAAAGATCTCTTGACCTTGTCTCAAAACATAAATATTATTTCCTAATCAATGTTTACATTATTCACATAAATTACTGCATAATACTTCAAAAAATCCCCATTCAAATTTATTTTATACACTTCCTAAAAACAAATCTTTCCGCATACATCTTTCAAGCAATCTGCTATAAATTAATTGCAGTAGAGAGACAACCATTTATAGTTTCACAAATAACTACAAATGATGAACACTAACTGTTCTGGGACAACATTCTTTAGCCAGGGGCTCTTGAGAGCCTCCTCAGCGGTGATCCTCTTCTCGGGGTCCAGTTCCAACATCCGGTCCAAAAGGTTCAGTGCGGGAGCGGGCATGAAGGCGAACTGCTCCCTCACGCAGCGCTTGTGGAACCGCTTTGGCCGCAAAGTGTGCCATAGAGGCAGATTGACCACGTTGGGCCAAACACCGGGCACCGGTGTTCCGCAAACGCGCGATATCATCTCCAGCTGCATCATTTCTACATTGGCCTGGAAATATTGATATTAATTGCTTTATTTATGGCTGCATAATTTCTATGTTGGCCTGGAAATGTCAATATTAATTGCCTTATTTATGGAAGTGGCACTTAAGCAAGCAGTTTAGTCATTTGTGATAACAAACATACTCAAATTGATAAAATATCTAATTGATAGTTATTGTCAAATGGTTTTCTTTCAAGAAATAAGATCCATGTAAGTGATATAAATATTATTATATAGAAAAACTCACTTGGAACAGAGGATGTTTAAGGAACAACTCTCCTAGAATACAACCCATAGACCAGACATCGACTGATGGCCCATAACGCTCCTCACCAAGCAGCAATTCAGGTGGTCGGTACCACAATGTGATCACCTTGTTTGTATAAGGACGCTGCCTGTCTTCAGCTGACCAAAGCCGAGCTAGACCAAAGTCACCAAGTTTTACCTCACCCCTGAAAATGATCAAACACAGCTTTATTCATGCTGAAAATCCACAAAGAGTTACTAATGTTTAGCATATTTAAGAATAAAATTAGAAATGCTTTTATGATTTTATGATCTTATAGTTATACAGGGAGGCTTTTTAAGTGTATCCATTTTTTTTAATTAAATTCTAGACATAAATAATTTTATATAAAAAATGATAAATATTTAAGATCACTTGTAATTATTTATTTTACGCGCGATCATTCATAACTAACACGCACACAAGTTCGTTTCAAAAGTATACCACGCATTTATGAATGACTACTGCATTGTCACTAAGAAAAGAAATGGCAATTTTTTTTGAAAAAAAAAATTTTGATTTTATTTCAATAAGCGATTATACTACCGAGTCTGAACCTCTGTGTGAATTTGGGCACCTTTAGAAAAGCCATCTTGTATACTATATGATATATGTATAACTATTAGCTAGTTAAGTTAACTAAATACTAGTGTAAGTTAAATAAACATCTTTTATTAGTTCCCAAATAGAAGTAAAATAATAAAGGAAGAAGCAGGCTTTAAATTGAGTTGGTGAAAATTTAAACTATGATTTTATAAACAAAGTGATCACTTTGTTAAGGATACATCTAATCAAACATACTTTTACACTCACTTGTTATTCATTAATATATTACTGCATTTGATGTCTCGATGGAGGAAGTTTTTTCTGTGGCAGTAGGCTAGTCCATCAAGCAACTGCCTCATTATAGAAGCATTGTGGGACTCCGTGAAGTCGACCATTTTCGACTCCAAAAGGCCCATTAAGTCATGGTCCATGTATTCAAATACTAAGTAGAATGAACCTTTATCCTGAAAAATATAAAATATAGGTATTAAGTTAGTCCTTTGTAATCTTTGTAAAGTATAAATAAACAAATAATTAAATAAAATATAAAGTAGAATCCAATCACTTAATTATCTTTGTATTGAATGCATGACACATAAAATACTGTCTACAAGTATTATGCATTCAGAATAATATAATTAGACTGCAAAGGTTTTATTCCTGACATAAATGAACAAAATCAAAAAGATTGTACTGTATACAAATCACCTTTCTAAAGTCCAAAGCATCCTGTTTATCTGTAACTATTTCCCGTAAATTAACTATATTTTTATGGTTCAACTGCCTCAGGATCTTGATCTCTCGTACAGCGGTAATCGGGAATCCCTCCTTTTCGTTCTCTAGTCGTACTTTCTTTAAGGCAACCAACTGACTTGTGTTTTTATCCCTTGCCTTGTATACCTGTCCATAGGTACCTTCTCCAATTTGTGTTATAACCTAGAGAAATTCGTAAAAAAACTAACTAAATACAAATATATATCTTTCAAATGTAATAAATAAATATTTCATTATTTCTCATTGGTGTGCCAATATGCATGGAAATTTTTGTAAAAATATATATGATGCAGGTTAACGAGGTAAAAATGATTAAAAACATTTTGTTTTTTTTTATTGGGTGAAAACTTAGAACACCTGCTACTTATTACCTGGAAGCCATCCACACATTTTTCTCCCCAGTCTTTGGCGTGATAAGTGGGCGTAGCTACTGGTACAACTTTGGAGCCCCGTCTCTTCAAGATCCTTGGCCTTTTCAGTTTTGACCCAGACTATTTGAGGAAAATATAATGTTTTTTTTTAAGATTAATTTAAGAACCACTAATAGTAATTTTCTCATGATAATTTATTTTGTATACATAACTAAATAGATTGAGATTGTGCATCATTAAAAAAAATTTTAATCGGCTGTAGAACTGAACTTGAAGTAATACTTTTGTTTTACCTAATAACAACAATCCTTTTAAATGGATACACATTGCTCTTCATTAAGTAAATTTAGACATTTTAAACAGTAATCATAAGATTAGGAATATTTTTAATTAAGAATAAAGTGAATGATCAGCTGAGACGGAAATTTGACTAATTACAATTTCTCTTCCATAATGCACCATGTAACAGCATACAACTAAGTTGGGCTTTGTTTAATAATTACATTGATTTTGTTAAGGTGTCTGGTGTTATATGTTCATGGGGTTTCACACTTAAAGCTGTGTGCGGTACGTACATTTGGATCCCGTTGCTTTGAGCGCGCGCTGAACACGTGGGAGTATGAGTCACGGCGCGGCGCCGGCGGAGGCGTAGAGCCATCCAGCTCGTCGCCACTCAACCCGTCAGTTTCAGGAACCACTGAAGTAATATAGATGCCCCATATTATATCCTATAAATTGGTACTAAAAACAAAGTGAAGAGTTGCCATGCGCAATGTTTAAGACTACATAGGAATTAAAGCAGTGGAGATAGATCTCCAAATAATTTTACTTGATAATAACAGAAAACATCCAGAGTGAGTATTTGAAATTAAATTCTTGGGACTTATGTTGCGGTCTGTTCTAATTTCAAAACAAGGTGCAAAATCTCGCGTTAAACTTCGCATTTAGCACTCGCTAACCCAGGCAGCTTAAAGACCGTTCAGAAATTAAATGAACCTGTTTTTTTTTTACTTAGGGTATAAAGATTATGTATTGCTTGCAATCACCGTGCCATACTTACATGGAGGCATTGGTAGGTTCATGATGCCAGTTCGCTTGGGTTTTTCCGATTTCTTAACGGGACTAGGCGATGGCGTACTCAAAGGACTCTCATTTACCAAAGTTTTTAAGTCTTCAACCTGAAAATGGCAATACAATGGGAATTTTTGAAACCAGTTTGGCCATTTTTCTATATATCAGATAATTTGTTGTCTAATCTTGCCAAACACAGCTGTATAACACCGATGTTTTAACCACTAAGACATGGGTTTGATTCTCGCAAAGGTGAAATACTTTTTATTTTATTTTTCTACAAATTTTAATGTTTCATCTTAAATGCAGATATTAGCATGGTAAAAATGTAAACAGCATTATTACATCAGCGGCACAGTGGTGTGAATTAAGTTTATATTGTCTATTACCTGAGTATTAGGTGGCATGGGCAGTTTTGTCAGACTCTTAGGCTTCTGCGCAGGTGCCAGCTGACTGTTCTGCAAGTACACTCCGTCCACGACGCTGCCACCGACCTTTGGCAGTGGTGGCAGGGGCGTGGGTGCTGTCGACGTTGGCGCGGCGACCACTGGCGGTGGCGTCTGTGGTTTTTGGGGCTGAAGGGGCATCGTCTAAAATAAATTAAGTAACAAACATCTTATACATATGTACCACATGTGGACAAACATCATAAGTTTATCTATTGCTTTTGACATTTTTAAAGGCAAGCCAATCTGCTCCATGCCAATCATATGTGAAGCCAGATTGCGTGAAAAAAAATGTGACGAATTCCATTTGTATCGAAAGTTTTATTTTGAATTTCATAGTTCGGTGGGTGCCACTGAGCTGTTTAATTATATTTTGCCTTGTATTAACATAAAATCAAAAAAAATATTTGGACAATTATCACAGTAGAAAATATTTTTCTATAATTATATGTTTATACCTCAGCCTCATTGCTATCAGTCGTCTCTCCATTGGCGGTTGGCTTTGGTTCGCAGGAATCGGATATGGACGGCGGTTGTGCACTCGGCAGGTTGGATTCAGAACTTGTTAGTGTTGGCATTGGTATATCAACAATTTCTTGGGGCGCCTCTTTGTTTTCACCATTCTCCTTTGAAGCCTGTTTCAAATGCATAAAAAATAAAGTTGACTAATTACCAATAATGTTAAATTGTCCTTAATAAACAGTGAGTAAATTGTAACATTTTTAACTCATATTATTAATTTGGTTAATTAACTTAATGCATTATTAATTGAGGTTCATTAGACATATTTTGAATAGTATACCCTGAACCAGTGAAACAGCTCTGGAAGTGGCCGTAAAATATTTTATGTGTCATTGAAAGTGTTATTGTATATTAAGAAAGTAGAATAATATTATTACTCATAGATGAATTTGGAAAGGTGAAAAACATTTAATACTTCAGAATGGAGGAAAATTCATCGTCGCACATTTAATTAATTTTACCTGTGTTGAACTGTCGGCGGTAGCGTTGGAAAGTTCATCAATAGTCATAATTTCTGGATTATTAATAGAAGTTGAGGAAGAGATTGCTCCTTGAGACTCCTCCTCCTTTTGGCTTAAGATCTCTTGTAGTTTCTGCATTAAACAAAACAATGTCAGTTTATTGTTCCTAATTTACTCTTCATTGAAAATAAATCTTCATAATGTAAGTGCAGCACTCATGACCAATTTTAAAACAGTATAAACAAAATTTTATATTTATAAAACATGTGTGCATTCCCATCAATTTTCATGGAAAATAAATTGTTAAAAATAAAGTAAAGGGATCTCTACATAATCATTAGACCATACAGACAAAAGAAAAACAATCTAGAGAAAAATTGTTAATGAAAAAGTGTAGGGTCATTGATAACAAAATGTAACGAATCGAACTATTATTGCTATAAAAAGTGATTAACCTTAGCCCTTTTGTGTTTATCCTTAACAAGCTCCGCAAATAAGCTTGTATCGCTAATCTTCTCCTTCAAGTCGATCTTCCTTTGTAGTGCTGACGGTGGACTGGGTGACTCATGTTTATTTCTGGGGAAAATACCGTCAATATGCGATATAGATAATTTTTATTTAATCAATTATGTTTAAACATTAATAATTTTGTACATGTCAAATTTCGTAATTTTTAGTGTTCGTTTTTAGCGCTAGAATAATTTCCTACCTATGTCTCTCTTTAGCAGCTTCAGCATGGCGTGACCTGTGCCTAGGAGGTGATGAAGATCGCCGTCTACTGCGCGATACTGACCGCCTTCTCTTTAAAGAGCTGCGGCTATGTGATCTGAAAGTAATTACCTTTATGGTGTTACAAAATTAAATGGGTCAATTTTTGATGTCCTAAAGAAATTTTTTGGATACACCTTGAAATTTTATAGATTAATCGTGTAATAAAAAGACGCAAATTTCGCCTTAAAATAAAACAATTTAATTTAAAATCAAATTTGAATTCACTTCCATTTATTACATTCAACCAATGACTATCAGTCATTAACCAGGATGTTACATGCATGCCCATCTCCTAAAACAGCTTTTAATATTGTCTTTATAAACAACTATTGATATTCCCTAAACCTTAGTATAAAAATAGCCAATTTTAATCTAGATCAAATAAAGCTTTCAAACAATGAAAATATTGCAAAATCAAGGTAATTAAACATTTCAATTAAACATCAATTATTTTATACTTCCTACTCAGAAAGCCTAAAAAATAGTGATACTATTAACTACCTTGGCTGCACTGCAATTGTTGGTAACTAATGGAATATACCATAAAGTTATATTATACATTTATTAGCCCATTGTTCTTGTCCATTATTTTAGTACTCTCCTGTATGTTTAGTATCTCCATGGCGCAGTTGCTAAGGCTTCATTGCCGAAGAATGTGGGTTCGATTTTTTTGGGTGGGGCAATATTTTCGAAGGAAAGGCTACAACATATTTCTAGGTCAGAGAGGTCTTTGGGACTTACTACCAAACCCCTTCTACACAAACATACAATAAATGAATGGTCCATGTACCTATGGTGCACCCGGGACTCTCTGTGCCGCTCGCGCTCCCTACTGCGGTGACGGCGTCGGGGGCTACGGCGTCTATGGCCCCGTCTAGGGCTATATTCGCGGACGCGCACTGGCTCGTGCACCGGGGAATCTGAGAACGCACACAGGTGTTTTCGCTAGATTCAACAGGGTCAACTAGTGTAAATGAGATTAAAAGAAGTCATTCTTCCGTTTTGTATGAATATGGTAAATTATACGGTTTTCCCTCAGATCTCATAATCAACACATCATAGAGCACCTCCATGGTTGTGCAAGACGAGGTTACGCTGCATGTTCATACAGAGCGAAGAGTTCATCTCGCTATCACCCGCCACACACAACCCATGGCTTCTCTCTTAGCGCGTTTTTCATCATTGGGTGTTTAAACTTTGTGTTAAATCTAACAACATATCGCAAATCAGCTTGGTTGCTAGAAAAATCAAGTAACAACTGCCACATCTATGATATCTTTCAGTTCTTTATGAAATTTGTTTGTTTAATTACCAACTTAAATTGTATCAGACCTGATATGATCATGATGGGTGATTGGCCTCGGTGATCCGTCCAGTAATCTCTTCTCACTCTTTCATAATCTGGTTCATTATCAGAATCTATTGTAACAGTCTCATGATATGGAGGCACGGAAGGCGTGTGTGGTGTCATTGACTTTTGTCTCCTTCTGTAATATGAAACAAAGTTAGATTTAGCACATTGTGACAAACAAAAATCAATTACATTATTACAAAAATAATAGAAACATATTTCTTTTCATAGAACCCAACATAAATTAAAATATCATAATCCTGCACTGCCTAAATCATAAGGGAATTCTAGAAATAGTCTTAGTGGGATTAAAAACATGCTTTTCAAATGTTGCACAGTTTTTTTGTATATATATTAATTTTAAAAGGGAAGAGGATAATTTCCTGACCCTCAAAAATAATTAATCCTAATACAATATATTTTAAAGTACCAGATAAAACTCAAAGACCATAAAAATATTGGTCATACTAAGATTGATTTTGTTAGTTTAGCATTATTACAAATTTATTTTTAACATTGCTGGCCACTGTATAATTATATAACAATAGCTTGCTTACCCCAAATACGTATGGGTAGGCAAAAGTAAGTTAACATCAAAGTTTCTGTATAATTTTCTTCCAATTTATGTGTTAAATACATTAATAACACATATTTCAATACTGTTATATTTGATCATAAAATGACTATTGAAAACAGTAAAATACATAACATTTTTGGGTTCTTATTATGACTTAAAACAATAATAAATATTATAAATAAATATTCAGTTAAATAAAAAAATATTTATATGAGCTATGTCATTCTGTTGTTATGTAGCTCATTGCACACTAAACTTGTTATAAATAGAGAAATATCATAAAACTACAATTTCCAATGCTGGTCAGCAGATGTACTTAGGATGATAACAAAATGAATGATTACCTCAGGTGGATACTGAAAGCATGAAAAAAAAGATATTATTTCATTAGTAACTTTAGTTAGAATACAATGTATGATTGTACAAAATGGTGTAACTTGTTAAAAACATGAAAAATGTGGATATAACAGTATGTAAAAGTTAAATATCATTTTCCTATTCAATATCAAATGGCAGTGAATAATGACTGATATTTATTTATTCATCATTTAGAAGGCAGTCATTTTTTTTTATTTGTTTGCACAGTTTTTATTCATGCAGATTTGTAGCAAAGTTCTCACCTAATAATAGGAGATCTTTCCCTGCGTGGTGAATACATCACATTATGCATAGGTGGCTCTCTGTGCATTGGAAGACATAGTTGATGTGGGTCATCATGTCTCCCCCTCATTAAAGGTGGTGTGGATGGAGATACTGGAGAACATGAGCCATTTTGGAGTGGGGAAGATGCCTTCTCCCATTCACTAATAGGCACTTGCTGGTATCTCTTGGGGGTTGATGGACGAACAGGAGTCTCCACAAGTACATTGTCATCAGGAGATACACTTTCTAGACTAGCGGACCTTGACCGATGCTTTGACTTCTTCTTACGTTTCTTTTTCTCCTTTTTACGCTTCTCCTTTTTTTTCTTATAACAGGAGTGATCATCGAAGTCAGGCTCAGCTTCCACATATTCCAGTCCTCGTCTCTTCCTCGATACTGCTGAAGAAGAATCACGTGTAAGAGGGTATTCTTCATTGGCACGACGGCTTGAAGTGGTTGAGACAGATATTGTCTTGTTGTCAAGAAAGGTGCGTACTGGATGAGATTTTCGTGTACGGTCAAGATCATCAGCGATATGTCGACCAATCGAACTAGCCTCACTCTCTATCTCCCCTGCCTCTGGCGCTGATAAATCCTCCGAACTAACATCGGAGTATTCCACGAGTGGTTTATTAGAATTTATGGTAGCATAAGATGGTTCATGAGTACCACTGGAGTGACTCCTGTATTTTTTGTGTGCCCGTTTCTTGTGTTTCTCCTTATGATGCTTGCTATGTCGCTTGTCGTAGCTCCGCTCCATGGTATAAAAAGGCGGAGTGCCTGCCTAGATGCTCCCCTCTTCACATTACACCAACTGAAAAAATGATATTTTTTGGAATTAATGACAGATATGCCGTTTGCTAAAGTTGAATTTGTTTTTTAATCTTACTGGATAGGCCATTAAGATTGAAAAACACTTAAGTATGAAGGCTTTTAAGTTTCAAAAACTTCAGAAAATAAAAGAAATCTCAATAGCTACGAGAAAATTGAGTGATCCAAAAATAACCCACACAAGCAAAAATTAAAAATTTGCATGAAAATAATTCCTAGGACAACGAAAATTTTATAAATTTTGAAACAAAACTACGAAAATATAAGTAAAAATAACTCACCTGAAGAAGAAACGGACGTGCGTCCGCCCCAATCACTGTAATTTTATTATTTTGCGAATTCTATATTGCTTAGATAAGGTACTTATTTAGTATCTTTGAATGGTTATAGCCAGACAATATACAGTTATTCTGTTTATTTATAGTTTATATAAGCCTATTTTGCTAATCATGGTCATAAGTAGCGCATAATTCATGTTATTACATCGGATTATTTTATTAGGAATTCGAGAACGTCGATTCTGTTTCTAGTCAGCCATTTGCTTTTTCATTTCATTTCATCATCCTTCCATAGAATTGTAGTAAAAATTTATAGAGTTGCCAGAAAAAAATCTACATTGATAATAATATATAACATAATCTAATGATAAAAAAAAGGAACGTGATATATAACATCTTAAGAAATTTGGTTATTTAAAAAGAATTCAAAGAATTTAGCGTTTTTTTTTAAATTGTTTTTACTCGTTAAAAGTCTATTTATGAAAGTATTAAGTATTACATTTTCGCAATTTCTCCACCATTTAGAATATTTTCATATTTTAGAATTTAGAATTGCAATAGGCATTAAGTGCGCCCTTTGTCAGTAAAGAATAAATAAATAAAAATATCTACTGCTAAGGATAATCAACTTCATATTCGTAAATTTAAGTTCGAAAACTAATCTAATTTTCCTAATATAACATTATTTTGTTTAAATCGTGTAGTAATGATATTTTAAACAATTGTATAGCACTTTTTTAATTTTTAACAATTGTGTAATTGTTTTTGTCTGACGAATAACTGTAAGCCATTTTAAAGTATAAATGGCCAAAAGAATGGGTGTTATGTATTATTTTTCTTCAAGTAAAAACCGATATGCCAATGTGATATAAAATTGGTATTATCTGTAGATTGCGTGCAATTTACTTTGCGTCCTTCGCAATACGCTTTATTTTCCTGAATATAAAATAAAATCCCCTTTATTGTTAAAGCATAATAATTAATTTTAAAAATTTATGATGTAAACTGTAATATTTAGTCTTATTTGGTATAGATTATAATAGTTAATAAATTAGTCGTTCTGACCCCTAAGTTCACGGCTTCTGCTATTGCTTGCGCATCGTGAAATCATTTAATGGAAGTACAATCTCGTTATTCAAAATTGGAACATAAATTTACTTATTAATTCAATTGTACTTTTAAGCGTACCTATGAAAGTGTGTACTAGAAAGTTTAAATCCAAGTGTAATACTATGGTTATGTTGGTGGGAGAGTCAATGAACCTACGTGCGGCATGCTGACACTGTGATTTTGTGACGAAAATATGTAAATAAACATGAATGATATAGGCGTTAAAATAGCAGAATCTCCGAAGGAGCTATCGGGGATTTCTCCAGCGCCAGAGGTTGACGTCCACAATGAAGTCGATCCTCTATCCATAGAAGATCCTGATGATGGTATAGCGAAAGATCCTCTCAATGTAGAGGACACTGTTGGAACAGAAGGAAAACCGGAAAGCTGTGATGAAAATACCAAAGAAGATAATTTAAGTGAGAAGCAGAATAATGATACTGATGTTATAACTGTACCATCTGAGAAGGTCAAAGGTATAGTATTTTAATTTAAATTAGTTATCTTAATATTATTAATGATATATAGGAAATATAAATAACTGCAACATATGCCCAAGCCTTTCAACATTTTTCATGCATAGAGTAATTAGACATTTCTGAAAACTCTTACAGACTGTTGTTGAGATAATAACAAAAACATTTATTTTATTCATGTTCAATTATATCTCAGGGGAATAATACACATCTGTTCTCCCGCAGCCTGTCTGTCCCTATGTATGCTTAAATCTTTAAAACTACGCAAAGGATCTTGATGCGTTTTTTTTTACTAGATAGAGTGATCCAAGAGGAAGGTTTATATGTGTAGTACATTGTACCCATGCGAAGCCAGGGCGATTGCTAGTCTTATCTATAAAATAATAATGTGTTAGGGAAATCATTTGTATTGTAAAATCATTTGTATTAATTCTGACTTATTTCTGATATTAAAAGGCACGTTGTCAATATCTCATAAATAAAGCTATATAAGAATTTTTTAAAATTTTTTATGTCTTAGTATTATCATTACTTTTTGATTGAATCCTAACAACCCCAATTTTAACACGCAATCTAATTTTCAGAGGATGATGGTTGTATAAATGTAATTGAGGATGATAAGAATGCACCAGAAGAAGTTGTTATAGATGTTAAGCCAATCGAGCAAGCTCCCATTAGCACAATCTCTGTGTCGAGTGAACCCGACAAAAACAAAGAAGTGAATGAGCCTGCTACGATAGATAAAGTTAAGGAGCCAAGTCCAGTGAAGGAGGTCCCTATAGTCGATGTTGAAGAAGTGAAACCTCAGGAAATAGATCCTGATGTGGAAATGACTGAAGTGGTGCAGCTAGACGAAAAGATTGAGAAAACTGAGTCCAAGTTAAAAACACCATCTCTTAATGGGGATATTATTAAGGTATTGTTGCTAACATTTAGAAATTTTGGTTGAACTATAGTACAATGCGGTAAAAAATTTTTTTAGCAAAGAACAAGTTAATGTTCAAATATCAATTCAAGAAGAGCTTTTTACAATGTGTTATATGAAGTGTATTGAAGATACTATCAATATTTTACTGCATTTATTTCTCACATGTTGGTCTTGGTTGTGTATGAAAATAGTAATTTGAAGTTAATGAAATTATATTTTTTACTATTATTTATTGCTTACGTAATATTTGTATTAAAACATGTTAATTCTTCAGGGTTTTTAACAATGGATGTAATTTAAGTGGTACTTAATTTTGAAACATAATTATTAAATTTACATTTGTACAGTTCTGATATAAATCTGTTTGTGTTGCTATTAAAAATGGTTTTACACTGTGGTTTATGTGTAATTCTCACAATGAATGAAATGTTATCAAATATTTGGTCCACCTTTCAATCATTAATTTAGATAATGCTCTAATTCGGGGATTTAGTCCTGAAAGATTACTTAAGGGTATAACATAAGGGAAAAAATTTACAATTGATAATACTTTTGGCATTAATCATAATTCATATTAACAATATTTTCTCATGCAAATCTAATTTATCAGGAAGATCAAGCAGCTAAAAGGCGCTTAAGTGAAGATATTGATACAGAATCACCTTTGAAGAAGCTCTGTCAGGAGGTAGAAAAGACATTCCCGCAACACGATGTCATGATAAACGATTACATTCAGACCGCGACTAAGAACAACGTAGACGAAATACAGAGGCACACTGAGCAGCTGCTCTCCGAGATCCAAACACTCCGAGAGCTCGCCCAGAAGAAGGAGCACGAGTGGAACAACATTCTGCATTTGAAGAAGGTCAAAGAGGAGATACTGTTGAGGCTGCTAAGGCGCAAGCAGGTGCTGTCGTTCGAGAAGTCAGCGGACGTCAACGGTGCGGAGCGCGCGGACCCGTTCGAGTATTTGAACCAGGCCAAAAACCTGGCCATCGACAAGAGCGACGAGATATCCGGCCTGGCGATAAAGCCGCCCACCCCGGCGATGGTCAACCCCATCCTGCAGCCGCCCGTGATGCCCGTCACCACCCACTTCAACCACATGTCCGGCCTACCGCCGCCGTACGACAAAGCGGCGCACATGCAGTCCATGCAGAAGCAGGTCTTCCCGCAGCCGCTGATGATGCCCGGCCCCGGCATGATGCCCGGCTTCCCGAGGGACATGAACGGCCAGCTGCCCACCAGCTTCGGCATGCCGATGGGCAGGCAGGGCCCCACGAAGGACGTCAAATCGATAATAGCCGACTACAGGCAGCGGAACCCGGAGGTCACCCCGAGACGGGGCAGGAGGATGAAGTCGATACTGAACCCCAACATGATGAACGCACCGAGACCGATTGCCCCTAAGATAGACAATTTGAACAACTTCAACAATCTCAACATGCTCTTCAATAATTTAGATATGGTGAGTCGCTTTTGCTTTGTATGTTCAGTTTGTGTTTATATGTAACAATGGCTTAGTGGTCCGTCATTGAAATGGCTATATGTTTAATGAATTTGCCCTCACCCTTTTTTGAAATTATCCAAGCCTACAAAGTCCCCTAGCGTTAGTTCCTAGTTAGTGGATTGTGGGTGTACCTTGTGTTCTTTTTATGTGAGTAGTCGTGAGTAGTAGTTAAGTGTCAAGCGAGTTGGCAGTTCACAGGATGTTAAGTGATAACCGTCGCCTATTAGTAGAGTTGCAGACGGCGAAATGCATAAGTATAACACTTCCACTTTACGCCGGTCTTCTTTGAGGTCGTGGTACTTCCTCGTATTGTAGATTGCAGATCTCGCCGGCCGTGAGGATGAACTATTTGGCATAATGGTCTTTGGCCATTAGTTGGCATGTGGCTGCCCCTTTACATGCTGTATAAAATATTCCCTCGTATCCAATGCGTTGTGTTGAACCGATAACGCCGCCGGGCGAAATAACAATGTTATATTCGAAGCAGCATAATTATGATTATACAACAATAATAAACGGTACCACTTGTGTAAAATGTCTCAAACGTTTAACCTTTTAAATTACGTTTCAAAAAATGGAATTCTTTGGAACATACGCATAAAGGTCCTTTTTAAGTCTACTCTAGAATAGATCGTGATGACAATATCTATCTATTTTTCATAATTTACTTCAATTCGTATTGCTTTGGACACTGGAATGAACACGTAGATTTTCCAATCGTATTACTATGGCAAATGCAAAAGAAACACTGTAATAGATATTCTTCCTCTTGTTATACTTTCGCCAAGTCGCTGGTCTGTCTAACATTGATTTATTATTACACTTTACGTGCGATGTTCTTTTCTAGATCAAATACTATTTTAAACGTACCTCACGCGAAGTAGTGGAAAGATTGCAAATTAAAATGACTTTTTTATTAAAAAAAAAAAACTTCCCGCGCTGTTTTTTAAAATAACTGGTAATGTTGATCTCGGCCCGACTAAAATCTCCACGAAGTTCCACTTATGTAGAATAATGACAGGGCCAATGTACAGTACAAGACCGTGACCCCGACAGCGTTGGTTGCCCCAGTCTCAGGGAGAACTGCCCCCTTCTTTGGAACATAAAGCGCGCGTTCCCAATCGGCCGTTTTTGTATGGACAACAGATTCCCCCGAATCCCTTGCCCATGCAAGTAGAGGCCATAGCAGCCAGGGGAACCAACCAGCGAGCCTCCAACGGAATTAGTCTGTGGCTCCACCGCTCATCACCTTAATTATCGCAACGCTCCTTATTTATTTTTAATGACGTCATTAATTTCTCCCTTCAAAGACTAGGTTTCGGTTTCTGAAACACAATCAGAATGATCTTCTCAATGACGAGAATGATCATTCAAAGTTTGACCATCTTTTTTAACCGACTTCAAAAAAGAAGGAGGTTTCTCAATTCGACCGTATATATATATTTTTTTATGTGTGTTCGCGGATAACTTCGTCATTTACGAACCGATTTTGATGATTCTTTTTTTGTTGGAAAGCAGATACCTCACGGGTGGTACAATGATAAGGAAACCCAGATCTGATGATGGTATCCCAGAGAAATCATAGTGTCGACAATGTTTTAGTCTCCTGTTTGAAGTCGGTTTTTTTTTTGTCGAAATTTATGGCAACTCCAATGAGATTTGAAACGCCATTTGATCGCTGATTAGTTAACACCTACGATGATCACTGTTTCAGAAACCGAGCGTAAGTTAACGAGAGAAATACAGGACTAGAACTACGGGACTTACATTGTCCGGTAGTTGTTCGTACTAATAAAACTGTCGATGAATTTTGCCACTTAATAGAATAGTATCATCGCTCTCTCGTTGATATTTTAACTAAAGCTCAATTGTGTCCAAAGCTCCTGGAACGTCTACGTTCCACGTGATTGCGTTTTGCTACGGAGAGGTAAAGTGTGAACTAAGCTAAATTCTTATTTTTTTATAGCCTGATTACTTAGACATGGCGAGGAGTGGTGTTGTTTGAATAATTTTATATCCAAGGGATATTCATCGTTAGTTTAGAACGATATGCTAATAGATATCTTATATTACTTACCCCGTAACCAAAACAAGGATCCATGAAGCTTTCCAATTCTCCGTCGCGTCCAAACGAACTTGAGGATGGAAAACCGACTGAAATCGCACAACGAAATACGAATGCATACACCGCTGTAAATCTTAATAAAATTTGAATAAAGTCGGGAATTTTCCGAGCACAGGTAATAAACGTCTTTTGAAGGACGACTTGGGTCAAATACGGAATAAGTAGCTCATAAAATTTAACTCCCATTCGAAGTTGTAATTTGCCAAACTATTATGATGCAGACATATGCATTGATGGGCAATTTGTCAGTACAGTTGCAATACTAATAGTATTTTGACGAATTTTTTGCCAAACTTTTTTTTGGATCAGTGCTTCGTGGCAGTCTGTGGGAGAGGCCTATGTTTAGTAGTGGACTCAAACGGTCTGAAATGATGATTAATATCGATTAACAAGATTAAATCATTCTATATTTATCGTTAATATTATTTTTGCATTTGCATTTTCGCGTAAGATAAAACATGCTTCGAGCTCATTTCATTTTTTTTCTTATACTAGCATTTCATTTTTTTTTCTTATACTGCACGGGTGAAATTTATTATACATATAAACCTTCCTCGTGAATCACTCTAGTAAAAAACCGCATCAAGATCCGTTGCGTAGTTTTAAAGATCCAAGCATACATATGGACAAACAGACAGCGGGAAGACTTTGTTTTATACTATGTAGTGATGGTGACTGCATTTTGAGCTGCGTTCAGAACTAGCGGTTTAAACTTCTTTCCGATAAATGCTTCGACAATTACACGTGCTTACGCTAGCTAAGAGTTCGTGCGGACAGTTGGCAATATTAAATATTAGCCTGTTGGCAATGTATGAACGGTTTGAACCCATGACCTTTGCGCCAAGGCCGAGGCGGTCGTAGCTGCGCCCCAGCGTCACGCCTCGACCATTGTTCGTTGAATCGATCAAACTATTCGTGCAATTGTTAAGTACTAGCTGCTGCCCGCGACTACGTCTGCGTAGAATATACTGAAGGCGTAACATTCAGACAGAAAGAGAGATATATATAAAATATGTATATAAATTATAGCCTGTCTTATTCTGATTTATAAGCTATATTAATGTAAAGTTTCATTTAATCAAAATCCATTCAGTAGTATTTGCGTGAAAGAGTAACAAACATCCATCCATACATACAAACTTTCGCCTTTATAATATTAGTAAGGATTTTGCTGTCCGTCTTGCGTTTTTATATGACACTACATAGTGCTTGCTTCTACCACGGCCGATGGTAAGAGGCGATGACGATAAACGCACTATATCAATAAAAGCCTATTTGCTCTTGCCTTGAAGACACCCACGCTATATTCTGAAGGAAAGACGGAGTAATCTTCGCTGTTGCACCAATGGGCAGGTCCGTCCGGGGAAGTGCCACGGCCTCACAGTAGACCAGCGCGGATTGGACGTGTTATACTTCCAAATTATATATGTATTATTCATGTATAAGCTATATTATTGCAAAGTATCATTAAAATGTATTCAATAGTATTTGCGTGAAAGAGTAACAAACGTCCATCCATACAAACAAACTTTCGCGTTTATAATATTAGTAAGGATTGTAAATGGACATTTAGACAATAGTGGCGAGTGAAACATAAAGTGAACCGCGCCAGCTTGACATTTTTTTTACATAAAAAAAATAAAACAAAAGACGTCGGCAAATCGTTCCATACCTTCCGTATTACATAATAACTCCATACGTACGTATTACATAATTTCATTACTTGCCGTTCGTTCATATTTTGTTGGACATGGTGTTCTTAATAGGCGACGTATTCTGAGATGAGGTTGGTGAGAGAATACGTTACGTATTTAAATTAGGTAATTCTCATTTTTTTTTTGAATTTTCTACGCGTATTAGCAAACGTTTTATTGTGTGCTCGAGCACGTTAAGTTCTCAACTCGGCACATATCCCCGCTGCTGATAAAAACTCACCTCAGTGTGGTGGGAAATAGAGAATAGTGCACCACGCAGTTTAGACGGTTAAACATCTCGTCAAAATCAGAATGTTCATTATTCATCATTCATTTCTTATACATGCAGCCTCGATGTCTCGCTCACTGCCAGCCACGTGTTGTCACTTAAAATGCCAATTTACAATTCCATTGGCGCTCGCACCGAGATTTGAACTCTGGTCGATCTAGTAAATATAATTAAAACTAGCGTCACAACTACCGCGGGTGTATGTAGTCAGTATTAGTGTAACGTTGAACGTGACTATTTTATTACATAATTATAGTAACTTACATCTATTACTACAGTCTTAAGCTATATTTTTCACTTTAACAAATTCTTGAGCTAATATTTACATTTCTATTACTTGCACGTACTTTATGTATACATTTATTATTCTCTGTTTACTTTACATTACTATAAAACGCACCTTACTTCCATTTGCCTTTATCTTAATACTTTCTACCATTTACTTACCTTCTGTTTACATTTTCGTCTCCTATTCCCTATGTCTTACTTTCTACATTGTAAATAATCTTTGAACGCGATTCGACGTCGGCTCAGTTGTCAAGTTATTGACTTCAACTGGTGTCGTGGTTTCGACTGCCAAGGAAGTGATTGTGTGTCCCACATCTCAATCTGGGCGTTTTTTTCGAGCTGAAATTCCTTAGAACGTTATTCTAATCGTCCAGTAACTTTTTGTTTTCTTTTCACGTTATTCTGAGCAGTCAGTGCAGTGGGTTTGTAAAGAGAAAATGTCATAGGACTTTAATTCTCGACCGCGGCCCGTACCACCGTCTCGCTGTCGACCTTGGCGGTGCGGATTGGAATTAATGGTGGCGCATCCTTGACTCCGTTCGGCAGCCGCGTCTCACCCGGGCCGTTGAACTCGGCTACTCGTCTCGTATTTAGATATTTGGGGCGCACGAAAAGCGAGCGTTTGGTAACGGACGCTCCAATTGTCCCTTGGGAGTCGAAATTTCGTTTAGGTTTTGCAGGCCCTTACGATATAAAGGAGAGCCACGCGATTTTGTTGCCCACTTACAATTGTGATACAGAAGTAGGCTACCGTATTTAAGGTTCCGTAACGAAAGGGTAAAACGGGACCCTATTACTAAGACTGAATACGAGCTAATATTATATATGTTTTTATTTTTGTACACCGCCAACTACCATTTGTGACACGTTCAAGAGATTTCTGAAAAAAAGTACCTTTGTCTTTGTACAAATCTTTTCTTCTCATTACATTTCTTTTTGAACACACGGTGTACATAAATTATTAAATGAATATAAAAATGCATTATAATGCTTAATTTAAATATGAGTCTCACGCGGTACGAACATCGATTTAAATTAGACGATACGAGATCCAGATTAAACTGTAACTTGATGACACGCAGTGTTCGTATACAAGGAGTAATTAAAAAAAATAATAACCGATCCATTTTCCAGAACCAAAAGGCGATGCTGGAGCGGCTACAGCAGATACAAGCGGGCGGGTTGCCCAACGGGCTCTCCTTCAAGGACGTGCTCGTCCAGTTCGCCAACATGCAGGCGAACCCAAACCTGATGCCCGGCAGGCCGATGGAGGCGGCGATGGCCACCAGGCCGGAGCACCACATCAGACCCGAGGGCAGGAGGAGACAGGACAGGGCCCACGAGGAGCCCCACACACCCAAGCAAGCGGAGAGACTCGCCTCGCCGAGCCCCAGGCTGCCACCGCCGCCCCCATACCCTGAGATCTCCCTACTGCCGGTCACCACCAGCCAGGAAGTGACGCAGTCCCAGAACTCCTTGCTTCACGGAATACTCACCAAGGTAATATGCTTCGACGAACGCGCCAACGCGGCGTTTCACTTTCGTATATAGCAACACTTAGATCTAGCGTATTTCATCTCTTAGCGACTTTTAGGTGGCTTCAAGTTGGGCGCGAATGATACGCTTAAGTTGAAGGCACCACGCCAGTCTTGTGATGTTCTATCAAAGGAGACTTTTCATATTTTTACACGCGAGTGAAAGGGATGGACGATAAGGCCGTTGAACACAATTTGACACGCTCAGAAATAATTACTGTTGCTTTAGTAATCGGCTTTGAAATAATTAATTTGTATGTAGACGTCTTACATTAATAATTATAATAGAGTGAGATAATGAAAATAATGTCTACAAGATTTGAACAAGCTGAAACCAAAAAAAAAAATTAAACGCGTTTATTCGCCCTGGACAAGTTATATTTCTTAAACTGGTTGCTTATTTAAACCGCTGCCTTCGTCCATCCCTATTTCATTTATCTCACAGAGCGTTCGAAACTTGAATTAGCTTGAATGGGTGTTGCCAACCTTCCAGCAGGCGCCCCCTGCGTCTCAGAGTTTCTCCCCGACGTTGGCTAAACTGCTTACGTCGCCGGAAAAGAAACAGAGCGCGCCAACGTTGCCAACTTTCGGTCAGGCCAAGGTACCACCTTAATGTGTACGAATTAAGACCCAAATTGGTGTGCTGATTGGCCTCGATCATTCCAAATTCAAAATTTAGCTTTAAGAATTTGTACCGCTGCGTTTTTAAACGGTTGAAGCCACATCTATCGCTTGTTGTGCCCTTTTATAATATTAAATACGTAAAGAGTCTGTGCGTTTGATTGCTCCAGACTTTGCACAGATTACACCCGGAAGTTTTGCTTCAATTTTCTTTTAATATTTTTTTATCACAGCTGTATCGTATGGTTGCAATGTTATATTGGTATCTTCAACTGTTTACAAAGCAAACTGGATCATTTATTTGAATACAAATACGTTTAAGAAAATCCGAAAATGGCAATGCTCATTATTAGTGATTGTGCCACGTGTTCTGCCCTTTTTGTCTGAAAAAAAAAATTGCAACCCTTGAAGCGTCTTTCGAAAAAGTGTAGTAAAAACTTCTAAAATATTCATTGATTTATATTAATTGTAACAAATTAGCACGATTTTCCTGCAAATTAATTCAATAGACATAGTTAAATGAATTGACTATCTTAATGCAAAACATGGATAATAGTTCCAAGGTTAAATGTTATGGAATTTAGTGTTTGTTATTTTTTTTAATAATATTTTGATATTTTAGTTGCATCCTAATGAATATCGTGCATGCATGGATCTTGCTTAACCGCATGTATCGCATGATTGCAGCTTGGCTCTGAGTAAGATTGCATGGGCGAATGTATCTTAAAGATTCAAAAAAGAATAATTGATTTTCATACTTCTATATTCACATAAATCTTATGTGTTGAATTTAAATAAGAATAATGAAACCTGGAATAATGGATTGGACGGTCACTAATACTGGTCATATACATATTTACATTTAATTAACAACTAGCGACCCGCCCCGGCTTCGCATTGGTGCAATGTATCATACATATTATAAACCTTCCCCATGAATCTCTCTATCTAGTAAAAAAATCCGCATCAAGAGCCATTGCGTAGTTTTAAAGATCTAAGCATACATAGGGACAGACAGACAGCGGGACGACTTTGTTTTATACTATGTAGTGATAATCTATAAAGGTATATTTTAGCCTTGGAACTACTGGAATCCTGGATATTGCTGAATTGTCAACTTATGTCGTAAACGTCAGTCAAATTTACCAATATAATAGAAGATAATATATAGTTCGTTATACTTAATTTAATAAAAATAACAACAATGTAAAACTAAAATCGCTGTCACCATCACATAATATATGGCTTAAATAAATCGATAAATTTGAATTTTGTGTCAGTTAGCTAAGGATGTTTAGCAACGTGTGAGCAGACGTGTTTTTAGCGGTGCTTGCGTTTGCAGAACTGTGGCGAGATAACAATAACTCCCGTGCAGCCAACACCGCCGCCACCGGAACCACAACCGGAGAAGGCTGAGGAGGTGGTCCAGTTGGTGAGTGACGCTTCTGTCATGGTGGTACAGCCCATGACCTTCGATAAGTACCCACCTCACATTAGCAATGAAAGGTACAAGATGGTAACTGAATGAGAGAGCGTCGAGGGTTTTTTTGGGTAATAGACGGTTATTAGGTTAAAAGTTTTTTTTAAGATATTTGCGAATGTATATCTAATTTAAATTAAGCAATTTGAAACTACGCCTGTTATACAGGGTGGCTTTTCTAAGTGTATCCATTTTTTTATTAAATTCTAGACATAAGTAATATAATATAAAAATGATAAATATTTAAAATCACTCGAAAGTAATCAATTACATTCATTTGAACTTATCTCAAAAAGTGCGTGATTTATACGCAACTCATTTATTTTACGCGCGATCATTCATAACTAAGATGCACACAAGTTCGTGCACAGTAAAATTTTGGTATTTATGAATGACTACCGCATTGTCAACACGTTCTGTTTTTTAGGGAATAGAAAGGCATTTTTTTTTTTGGAAAAAAACTTTGTTTTTTATTTCAATAAACGATTATACTACCGAGTCCGAACCTCCTGTGTAAATTTGGGCACTTCTCAAAAAATCTCCCTGTTTAAACTATGTTTAATTGCCGTACGCCCGATTTCTGAAGGATCATTGTAGAAATTAACTAATAAGTCTTTCAAATGGCTTCTCAGATGTCATTTGAGTTGCCAAAGGGATGGTTAAACTTTTGTAATAATCGATCATTCTGACCAATTCAAAGGGTTCAGTGCCTACCACAGTATTTGAGGTTGGGCCGTTCGTGTATACTAGCTGATTCTCGCGACTATGCCTGCGTTGCTTATTATGTTAATAAATGTAGTTGACATTGCGTGCACCATTTCTCCACGGCAAGAAAACACTGAACACGTAGCGCTTATAAAATTAGTTTCTTAAAACTATAATAACTTGTATAGCTTCACATTTAACGGAGATATCAGCGTTCTTTTTTATTATAAAAGTGTTATTAAAATACTAATAAGAAACATCACGCGATGAATGAGCGACGCGCGACGTGTTCGCAGGACGACGAGGAGAGCCCCGCTTCGGAGTGCTCCGGCGCGGGCTCCCCCGCCGGCTCGGGCTCCGGGCGGCTGGTGATCGACGAGGGCGGCGACGCGCAGGAGGCCGGCGGCGGCGGCGACTCCGCCCCGGCGCCCCTCTGCCAGGGCTGCAGGCGGCGGGACGCGCAGTTCGTGTGCGCCGGCTGCGCCAACCAGTGGTACTGCAGCCGCGACTGCCAGGTGCGTGTTTCGGCCGCGCCCCCACGGATGTCGGGAAATATCGATGGATGTGTGTCGTCACCGTCGCGACAATAAATGAACACACGTCGAACGCTACGTGCCGATAGTCATAAAAAAATATTAACGTTAAACAAAATCCATAATTTAAAAAAAAAAAACTTTTTTCAAACAAAATAATTAAGTAAAAAAGAAACAAAATTTGTAACATCCTATACAATTCGCGCCACAGCGTCGCATTACAAGCCTCTCCATCTAACAGTATGTTTTGTCTCTTTTAAATTCATTCAACCATTCATATGCTTTGTGACCTTTACAAATGAACTTTACGTTACGCTTTTATAGGTAAGGGTGTTCTAAAATTCTTTGTTTTGGAAAATTTAATAACTCTGTAAATATTTATGTTTAAAGAATTTAAATGTTTAATACAACTTTAAAAACTTATCCCCTATATGTGTGTTCATTTATTGTCGCGATGGTAACGACACGCTGTATATTATATAGATATCGATAGTTTTTGATTTTGTGTATACCGATATCTTCGCCTTTCCTTACCTGTGGCCGAACCGGGTGTCATTTTTTTTTGTTAACGTGTGGGAAATGATCACGCATAACCGCCACGATGCTTGGCAACTAGGCGCATATCGGCGGGGACGCTTTCGCACACTTCCGCGACCTTGCCAGCGCTGGCCGCCTCAGCAGCCTCTTCACGAGGAGAAATTCCCCTTCTCCGGGTAAGGCGCGCTGGAACATTCAGCGCTCGGCCCCATTTTCACGGCCAATGAATGAATGAAATGAGTTTGCCGACCAGAGGCCATGGGAGCCAGGAGAGCCTGTACCAATAAGCAGCAAGTCTCCCAACCCCCATCGCGCCGGTTTTCGCTGAAGATTGCGTTATCGTGTTCCTATCCCCAGCAAAAGCGACAAGTAAGGTGCAGCGTTGGCTTTTTAGTGGGTACTCTGGTATTCGGGACTCTCCTGGTATTAGGGACTCTCCTATATTGGGGATTCCCACATACCTTGCTATCAACCAACAGGGCAGTGGGGATCAATTAAGGATTTTTCTCACGTTAAAAGAAAACGTATTTTATGCTAATGTATGAACAATGGAAAAATGCTTTATGGATGCCGCGCCGACAAATCGGCGACTGGTAGTAAGTATCTCAAAATAGGTACCACTAAAAAAGCCCACGTTGCATCTGTTGCAGACACGGGAACACTAAAGTGAAACCTTCTGCGGCGCTACTATGGCCTTAATAAGCCTCCTCTCCTCGTGAATAGACTCGGAGTTTACGCGATTACTACCAACAATTGCAACAATTCCACTAGACGGAATGGTAGTCAACCAGTATAGTAGCGAGTCAGTAGTCATAAATAATAGACTACACTCCCAATAAAAGCGCGTTTGATTGGGATGATCATTTGATGTGATACTTAGATCAAATTGTATTGTTTTAATCGGGTAACATAACTGCAACAATGTGGAATGGTCTAATAAAAATGAACTCCACATCTTTTCAAACAGTTATCAAAAGTATCATTGAATCTTATGTGTAGCAATAATATGTATTATTGCAATTTTGGTCCTTTTACTTGTATACATTGTCTTATTTATACAACAGCTATACTCATATTTGGATTAAGTGGAATACAGATAAAAAAAATCTTTTACAGGTCGCCGCATGGGATGAACACTCCGAAATGTGTTCCGGTTGAAAATCGTCAAATAAGCACCTGCCTACTTGCTTGTGAGTGTTGAACGAGGCAGTATTAGCGACTAGCGTATCCAACAGAAATCACAAACTAATTTAAATTAATTTAGACTACCATTGTAACTTTGATCGGCCGGCCTTGTTTGATACTAAACCTGGAGAAAGTTGAGAATCTCTGTTAAATATATGATAAAAAGATTTTAATTTTCTTATAGATTGAAGCGGCGCTTGCGAACGCACCAAAATTCTGACTTTAGACCCGCGCCTGACACTTGAAACGTAGGGCAGTAACGATGTCAGATTCGTTTACGATCCTATTGTATTTGGGTTATCTGTAATCGTTAATTTGAATGCAACAACAACGATTGCAGATAAGAAAACATCATAAAACAAAGCCATCACGTTTGGTGTAGCACAAGGTTCCCACTTGGGTCCACGATTATTTCGTTTAATTACATTTGTACTTCAAGTTATTTATTCCGCTATTAAAAGGAATGGTTCTTAACAAGTGTTCTGATTCGGCTATAAACAAATGCTGTTTTGTAATATACAAATATTACGCACTTTTCAGACAGAAACTAGTACTTTTATGTAAACATAACTTTAAAAAAGCAGCAACAGGCCTTCCTTTCTTTACAGTAATTCTTAAAGCTCCTTTAGCAACGTAACGTTAAAAGCACTATTTCCGAGGCGTTTTAAAGAAATAATGTAAACGAAGCTAAAGTATTGTAGCCGCGGAGGTTTGAAAATGAAACATTAAGTGTAATATTATTTTTTTTTTTAATTGTAAAAAACGGTAGGTGTCGTGGGACATCCGGTTGGAGTGGAGTTCTTTCGCTGTGTATTATATGTTAAATAACAGGGACAATGAAATAAATTATCAAATTTTGGGACTAACTACATAAAAAATACAGCTGACGCCATCAAGTCTATACTACAGTATTAAACCGGTACATAGTAGAAGCGACTTATCCGAGTGTACTTCTCTTTTCAACAAAGTTATATGCAAGAAAAGAGCTTTTGACAGTCACACAATGTTTTTTGTTGTTTATTGTAACAGTTTTTCTCTTTCTAAGGTTCTAAGTTTTTTCTAAATACTAAGGTCTTAAGTATGAACAGACAAAAAACTTGTGACAAAGCGTTACGGAGCTTTTTAGTGGATCAAGAACTGTCATTTATGTTTCTTCTTAACAGGTACAGTATGTCATCTCAATATACCTATTATAATTAACCAGTTACGATAATTACACCTCACTACTGGTAGATAGACTTTCATCAGGAGAAGTGACGAGACGATCAAGATTTTTGCGGCGGCTATGAATTGACAGCGGGCGAACCGTCTGATTGATTGATGGTGGCTACCTTGCCGCATAAAAATATTTTATCCTTTTCTACTTCAGTCAACATTGTGTCCTGCGCTCTCAACACTAGTCTAAATTAACGGTTTGAATTTTACCAAAATTCTTACACGAGAATATCTCGCAGATGGCCGATTTTTTTCTACTTAGTTGACACTTATCAGTATCGACGATATCTTTATAAATTATAGCCTATATGTTATTCTGATGTATAAGCTATATTATTGTAAAGTTTCATTAAAATTTATTCAGTACTTTTTGCGTGAAAGAGTAACAAACATCCATCCATACATACACTCACACACACACACATCCATACTTTCGCGTTTATAATATTAGTAAGAAGGATTAGATGATTTATTTTGAATGAAAAATAATCTCGGATCATTTCTCGACTGAATGTAAGCGAAATTAAGACTGTAAATTTATTTTATAGGTACAATAGCGTCTGTATATTTTTATCATACGTGTACATAATTTACTCTCAGTATTGGAAATATTTATATAAATATATTTTTATGTTAATCAAACAAAGCGTTGGAAGTGATTTCAAAGTTATTAGTCTTGGTAAAGGTAAATAACTTTAACTCCGGCGTAATTCAAATCAAATAAATTTTAAACGATAGAGATAAATCTCTAATGAATTAATCAACAAGCAGAATTCGGCGGTCGCTTATAGTTTTCGAGAAAAAAAAATATTTAAAACTTGTTTTTTGTACTAAGAAATCCACCATTTTATTCGTTGACTTCAAAAGTTCTTTACACAGTTCTGCCAACATGATAAATATAGGAAGCGGGCGCCATCATACACGTATCGATATTCCGATTTTTTTAAATTTAATGAGTCACAGAACCGACACAGAGCGAATCCGACTCGGATAGATTAAGTTAGAAGGTTCAAAAAAACCTTCGATGTTAGGTTTTTTTTTTATGACCACCAAGAAATACGAGCTGAATTGACATATTGACAACAAAAAATGGCGGATTTCTATAGTAAAAATCACACTATTTCATTATTTATTTTTTCGAAAACTAAACCGCCAAATTCTGCTTGTTGATAAATTCATAAGTGAGTTTTCTCTATCGTTTAAAATTTATTTGATTTGAATTACGCCGGAGTTAAAGTTATTTACATTTACCTTAGTCTTCTGCATTCGATATCGATTTCTTGTAAATATGCCTCAAGAAATCAAAAACTTTCAACAAGTCACAACGTAGTAATTTTTTTTAATAATTGAAACAAAACCTTTTTCCCTTATTTCTAAAAAAATAAAACATGTTTCACAATAAGAGATAATCAGAAATAAATGGGAGATACCTAAAAGCAAATGTGCAACAGAGGAAATCGCTTCGGTACACTAATTATTTCAACATGTTTTCAAATTGGCTCGATAGTACGAACGCCTCTAAAGAAAACTCCCTTATATCGATTAAAGCCATGTTCAAAGTGCCCAAAAATCATGCTATTCGCGACTGTACTCCGTGTAATGCGAGCAAGACCAAAAGAGATTTAGACTAAGGCGTGAACGAGAGGGCAATACTCTCCCAGTACCTTCCAGATAGCCCCTCAAATATCTATGCACTCCGTGTGGGCTTTGACGAACTTCATGGGTGCATTAAAATATTGTCAAATTGCACCTAGCGTTCGAATTACAAAAATATATTTATATCTTTATGTAAAATTTGTGGGTAAGAGACTTCCATACGTGCGTGTTCACTAATTAACTCTAAAACATGAATTCAGATATATTTCAGATAGTTCTGATGATGTCCCTTTGCTGAAGACGTCAGGCGCTTTTTTATTTTTATTTTTTATTTTATAGACTGACCGGAGGAATAAAAATGCCCGCCATCTATTGGAATAACCAATATCACTTCTTTCTTCTGTCAATAAAATTAGGGCTAGCAATAAAAAAAAATCTAATGTGGTGATTTCAGAGGGATGACTTTTTATTTATCTGGTCAGGCTATAATATCGAATAGTTCCCGCTTAAAATCTCTCAAGAAGTTCTACCGAAGGTATTTTTTTTTTTTGTTACAGGTCGAAAGCAATTGAACAAATAAGATTAATAAAATGGTTGTGCATATTTCTATAAAATTTAGGACAACTCTTTCTTACTGTAAGCGTTGATATTATGGCCCTACACTATTTGACTAACTCTAGATGTTCTAAAATTAGACGTTTGTATAAATTATGCAGTTCCATTATTTGATAATTGTGTGAATGTACTTTACGTAACCAAATTGCCTCAAGTGGTGAACATAAGAAATGAAATGTGGTACATTTTAAAGTTTTAAATTTAAACTCCCCATACACGCGATCACCCGTTTGATTAGATGGCAAGACAAAAGTGGCTTAACTTAGCACATATGCTAACTACGTTAAATCGAAATTAAGTTAACGTCTACAGTAGATCATTTTTTTTTTTTAAAGAAATTGTTGAACTTATTGTCAATATAACTCTGGATTGATCTTGAATAGTTCTATTAATTGTAAGTTAAATTAATGCAAAATCAAAAATAGGAACGACATGGTATTCAAAACGTAACATTGCAAAAATCAATTTTTCGTTTCTTAAAATAATTGAAAAAAAAAACTAAAGTAATTTTAAAGCAGATTAAACAAAAATGTAAAGTGAAGTAACCGTTGTGAATTTAAATAATATGGTATTGACATCTCATGCCAATTATTATCAGACGATTGACTTGTTTATTGGAAATAGACGTGTTGGCTAGTTTGACGATTACTTTACGTCTTACTATGTTCATTGTAAATTTTCTTTCAGATTTTTCGATTCCTATCAAATTATTAATAAATAACTTAATTTCATACAAGACTGGAACAATTGGTGTAAATATTTGCTAATCATAATTAGCAAATATTTACACCAATGATACAAGTAAACAAGTTTGTATTTTTTTTTGTTATATTTGAAATTCTGGAATCTTATAAAAATGGCAATTATGGAAGAATCAAATATTATATTTTTTACATATGTATACATTTTTACGCTACCAGGATTTAATGTATCCGTTACGCGAATATCTTAAAGTGTATTCATTTTTACTATAATCAACACTCGTTTGTGTAGTATTAGGTCATTCCTATATAAGGGCGCAGGAGCAAAAAGTGTAATCTGCAAGACTTTGTCTATGGTCGATATATTAGGACTTTTTTGTTTTGAAGTTCTGAATTATGCAAATGGTTCGTCCCGTGCACGTAAAGCGCACCTACAGCTTTAGTGATACAGAATGAATTATATCAATTATTCGACCGAATTCGTTCCCATGAGATCCTCTTATTTGCGAGATAGCAAATTGAAAATAAATATTTATTACAGATTTTTTTCGCCCGTCTATGGTCAGAGGACCATGTACAAACGTGATTAAATCGTAAGTTTGATTTCCCCCCCAAATCAGTATCGATCCAATCTCCAATATTATTCCGTAGTAAACAAAGTATTTCTTTAGTTAATGCATAAGAGATATTTAAAGAAAAAAAAATTCCAAGAATCGCACCCGTTTTGATCAGATCGTATATCCTAATAAACCTGTGATCGATCCAGGGTTTGTTTCCGTGTAATTCCAAACACCGTTTGTACGATGTTTGTATAAAAAGCTTATATTGTAATTGTAAGTTAGA